CACTTGGATTTCTTTAAAACATTCTGCAGCTTCTCTGGGCAACCAACCTTGTATGTTATTCTCAACTGAGACTAAGATACCAAATAAAGGCACAGATTTGGTTGCTTATTCTGTGCTTTACACATCAGTTTCATCACTGCTGCTTTTAAGTACCTTCTGCTTGTGTGCTGAGCGCTGACAGTAGCTTGTTGGGATGTCTCAACCTTTCACTGCGATGGAGTGTTTTGTGTTGGACCCTTTCTGGAACTCACACTGTCTTGTGTACACTCTGCACACGCATAGTTCCCCTACATTCTGTTGGGTTTTGTTAAAGAAAGCAAGTTCAAGGAAAGGCTAGTGCGTTTCTGCATTTAAGGATTTGTAAGTGTCCATCTATGAGAGTTTACTCAACAGCTTCTTTGGGGAGCAGTCAGTGCTGTGCCTTATACATCAGAGCTGTCACATACATGATTGCTGAGCAGGTACTGGAAAAGATTCATTGATTTTTGTGAATTGGAAAAAGAACAAAGAGAGCAGAGGAAAGCAAGAATGTCGTCTAAGGCATTTGGGAGTAATGGGGGATTGAAACTGATTTCTTCAATCTTTCTGTAAGTGTTCCAACGTTTTGCTCTTAAAGGCAAGAGTGTCAAAATTTTAGGTTTTTTTCCACTTCTTAACAATCTTCCTTAACTTCACTAAGATATGCATCTCTAATCCACTAGTCTGAACATGAGGCATGCAGGCACCGGGTATAAAAATTAGGATTACAGAAAAGGAGAAAGAACATAAAGTCTCAGGTGTGCTGACAAGAACTGAATGGAGAAAAGGGAGCTCCTACCTGAGGGAGAGATTGCTTTGCTTAGAATCATAGAATCTTTATGGTTGGAAAAGACATCTAAAATCAGCAAGTCCAGCCATACTTGCTATCTGTGGACTGCAAAGATTTTGTATAAAGGGAACAAAAAAAAGGTGTGAGGGGTAGAAGAGCACACTTCTTCAATCAAGAAGAACTATTTCTGTAAAATACTGTCTTCTGTTTTTAACATAAGTGAGACACATTTAAATCTGTGAAGGGAGTGCTACAAAAGTGTTAAAACTTTGTGTTGCAAGAACTGCAAGGTTTGAGGATCTATGCATTTTTTCTGGTCTGAACCAGCACCTTGCTAGATTTTTTTACTACTGTCAGTCAGAGAATCCCAACAGAGAAGGCTACAGGGACCTGCTATACACAGTTTTAAGGTGAAAACCTGGTTAGTCTGTGAACACCTAATAGAGAAGAAGCTTGGAAAATTAGTGTGAGATAGTAAGATATCCACTTGTTTGTCACATCATTTCTATGAAGTACAGCAGCATCCAGGAGAGGTCAATAGCAGTCTTCTGAAGCTGTGTGCTTCAATTGGTCCAGCTGGCTCTTTAGAGACAAAATCTATTTTGACATCCTTCCTCTGTTGTCAAGATCTTTTAAGCTGCTCAAAAAAATTATTTGTACCTTGTTTTGCCGTGACTCTGAAAAAATAGAAGAGCAGCCCAAACCTTGCAGTTGAGAAGTGAGAAGCTGCAGAGCACAGGTAGTAGCAGCAGAGCACAGTGCTCCTACAGGAGCAAGCTCAGTGGCTGTACTTCCTAGTTTTAAGTACAGGCAGGCTTTGGAAAGGAAAAGAAAGGCATCATAGACTAAAAAGGTTGGTTTCCTGTGAATTTAGTGTCATTATTGATCGCAAGCTATGACTGAAGCTTTTCCCTCTCTAGGGCAGTTAAAGGTACTGTTTCAGGTGTAGATCCGCTGCTGCCTAATACCAGCAGCTCACTTTCTGGTTTCCCCACTGTGGGAATCCTAGTGTTTTTTGTCCTCTACCACCCACCAGTTGTTGACCTGGATTTCAGATACCATGAGGATCAGTAAGGATTAACAGATATATACATTTTTGAGGACATAAAGAAACACATGTAATGTGATGTCTTTATCAGGTTAAAAATACATTTTTCAATTTTCAAAATGATTTGTAGTTATCTTTTGAGGCAGAGGAGGTTGGTAACACTACTCATTTTATTAAAAAAAAAAATTCTAAATACTACACTACATATTATTTATACTATACTAAATATAGTATATTTACATATCATTAAATTATATCCAGAATAAAACCCCTTGTTTCCAGTGATTTAAGCTGTCAAATAAAAAAGGTGTGCTGCTGTGTAGCTGTATTAGCATGCAGAAAGCAATGCTGCTTCCTCTGGGAGGTTTTAATCAAGCCTCTTGTAGTGATTGAGATGCAATACTCTAAAATGAGAAAAATTATTAACAAAATAAAAAATCTAGAGTGCCTTTCACACAAATATTCATCAGTGTATTCATCAGTATCTTATGTAATTACATAGTCAATAAATCAACATAGTGTGTAAGTGCTTCAGTCATGGTGTAAATATCTTAATGACTGGAACATCTTCACACATGAATAATTTATACCTGTATGATTCATTTTTCATATCCACGCTTTACTTCAGCATGAAAAACTAATTCTTCTCTGTCAGAGAATGTGTGCTTGATTATTGCCTTCTTTCTCTTCCTTGTGCTTCTTTTCCACCGTTAGACACACTCCATTTCTTCTCTTCTGGTTCCTCTAATGTAGTTATCTTATTTATTCATCCTGTCTGCCTTGGTTTGTGTCCCAGTGCATTTCAACAGGCACCTGGGAAATAACACTCGGGCATAAGCTGCTTGTGCTTATGCAGTTTCCCAAGTAACTGGAAAAAGGACCAGCATCTTGAAAGATTTACACATTCTCAACAGATATTTGCATTCAGTTTCCTCTCCTCAAGGCAGCCATTGCAGAAAGAACTTGTGCAAGTAGGGCTTTGCCATTTTCTGGATCAGTATGAGTTAAAACCTTTGTCAAGGTACGGATGGCAAACATTGTTTTGAGTTTTCTTCCCATATATTTGTAAATGTGGAACTTGTGTGTAGCTCCAGAAACCCCTGGAATGTTCAAGATGAAAATAATTGCTTCTCAGTGCAGGAATGGGAATAAGGAATACTTAAATTCTGCTCTGCTGCACATGTTTATTTGGCTGTTTGCAAGGCACTGCATGAATCCTGCCTTACTTAGACCTTTAACCAAGTCATCTAAGACAAGAATTTCATTGTGATAAACTCCTTCTTTAGTTAGAAAGAGAAAGACAGGTAAGTTAGCAACTTTAGTTAGTCAGATAAAGACTGCTGAGGGCAGTTCATCCAGCTTTAAAGCTACTTAGTGCTTGAAGCTCCAGGCAGAAGTGCTATTGGGTGGACTCTATTCTTTTAGCTCAGAATTTAAACATCAGTTCAAGTTTGTGGACCAGCTTATTTTGTAGTGCCTGTGAAGGTTGAGCCTTTAAAAATTCAACCCTAGTTGTGTACAGAAATTGTTAACTCAGATTTAATGACAGCTTTCAAAATTGCTGAATCTTGCCTTCAAATCCTCAGATTTTGAACTTGAAAAAAAAAGAAAACCAGCAGGAATCTAAAAATTATTTCAAGTTGTGGGGGGAAAAGGAGTTCTATAATAATCAACTGACACTTTTCTGGTATTGTATGTTATTCCATCCAACCTTTTTTCCATTTCTATATGCAGTTTACCTACATTACACTCTAGTGAGGAAGAGCATCTTCACTGAGTTCATCATCCTCTCATTCAATTTCTTGTATTATTATATAGATTGTTAGTTTTGTACCCTAATACGTTTTACTGTTACTTCTGTGCCAATATTACATTTTTTGACTAATTTTTTAGATTTAGGACTGAGTGGAGTATCTTATATCTGTCCTCTCCTCCATACTTGGAAGCCCAGCTGCAGCTCTTTCACAGCTTCAATCTTAGTGTCTTCTGAGACACATCACAATTGATTGTTGTCTTTGTGTACTCACAGCTGGTTCCAGTATGTTGTGAATACCAATCTCTCCTGCTTGCTGACAGGACATTTGGTAACTTTGATCCAACATCTTGATCCATCATCCAAGTCTTCATTTATTCAGTTTTTTCTTACTTTGACTGTAAGCACCTCCAAAGGTTTCTGATAGCACTTTGTTTGTCTCAATCTTTTAATATCCTTAAAGGACATCTTCTCTTACTGTATCTTACTGCACTGAGTTATTGTTCAATGGGTATTGGTTAGTAGGAGTTTTCAGCCAGTCTCCAGAATGTACTTCACCGTGATCCCTGCCTGCTTTGTTTTGGCATTTGGGAAGAAGCCTGCTCTCTTTTTGCTCTGTTGTGTCTAGCACTTGTTCTCTAGGGTAGTTTCTCACCACAGTCATCAATCATGACTGTTGCTCCAACTTATTTTCCTTTATTTCCTGTTTTCTTTATTCTGTGTTGATCACTTACTGTCTATGTCCTGTTGTAAGGCAGTATTTTATCCAGTGGAAGGATGCAAAAAGACTCTTCTGAACTTCCTCACATATATTTTGCTTTAACTTCTACTGTGTATAGGTGTCACACCTCCTGCACTTTCACCATTTTGGCCTTTCTTTTGTGAAGGATTTCTTGTAGACCCTTTCTTTGTCTTCATTTGATTATTAGAGCTGCTATCTACAGACCTTCATTCTTCTTTTGTGAAAATCAGTTTCGCTTCCTTCTCTAACCTATTCACTGGTTCATTTTTTTCAGATAATTTTTGACTTTTTAAATTAATTCTGTTTTTTCAGCATGTCTGTTTGAATTCCAGGTAATGTTTATCTTCAGTTGTTCAAGAGAATGATTCACTAACACACCCTGTTTCCCTCATCTGTTCCATCTCTGATTCTGACACACTGTGAAACTTTCAGACATCCCAGATTCAGAAACTTCCTCTTGCTTTTATAATTTTCAACATCAAGAGCTGGTTATTGACTCCTTAAATTATGCTATTCCAGTATTTCTCAAGTGGCATGTTATCTGGTCAGAGAAATAGAATAGCCATGGAGATTTTATGTGGGGAAACATGAAAATGGCAAAAGTACCACATTGGTATAATACTGATCTTTTGTTGTCTAATTTTAACAGATTCAGTAGCAACAGCTTCTGGGCCACTGCTAGTTGAAGTTGCCAAAACTCCTGGTGCTGCTCTTGGGGTCGCACTATCTACCTCGATGTGCTGCAACAAACAGGTCATTGTCATAGACAAAATCAAATCTGCAAGTATTGCAGACAGGTGAGTGTGACAGAGGACTGACACTGCAGGTCCATGCATCCATTTTCCTTCTTTTCCTGTTGGTCCGGCTTTAAAGGAACCCTTCCCTTTGTTGAGAAAATCGACTGAACCAGGTCCTCTCAAGGTTGCATGTCTTAAAATTAGCACTTTGTCAGCTGGCTGTTCCAGAGTGCCGAGTCCAAGGCTTCCATCCATTTTAGCTCATCCGTGCAGTATTCAGCGACATAAGCCAGCCCCCGTGTAGTACGTGGCTGGCTGCTTGCACTGTGCAGCACAGGAGTCTGGCTGTTAAATGTAACACTGTGGCAGAGATCAGGATTTAAAAAAATAAACATTGCCCACTGGAATTCTTGAAGTAAGCCCACCATATGGAACAGCTGTCAAGGGAAGTAAATTTTGAGGCTTTGCAACCTTGGAGTGTTCTTTTAGGATATATCACTCAATCTTGTGGCACAGTGAAATGGAACTCCTTATGTCTGGATTCTTCTGCTGATATTTTAGAATACAAGTGAAGTATAAGGAAGACTGGCTTCTGTATTTCTAAATTGTTTTGCTGTAATATTTCCACTTCATTTAAACCTTCAAATAAAACCATTTAAACCATTAAAATTATAGCTAGATATTTTTCCCCAGTGGTCTGATCCTCTGCAACAAAGTTGTGGGATCTTTCCTGGGGTGTGTGTGTGTGTGTATGTGTGTGTTTATACATATACAAGATATTTCTATATTCATATCTCTATTTAAATTTTTTTTAAATATTACGTTTCAGCAGCAAATTCTTCCTGCATGTCCCCAGTCACCCTACCTTGTAACTCCTCTTTGGCAATGGTGCTTTTGGTAGCACCCACTTGTAGCAGTGAGTCTACAGCTCCTCTGTGGGCTTTTCCCTACAGTAGAAACTTTGAGAGTGACGACCATTGATCCAGGGGTGTTCTCCAGTTCAATGGTGCAGGATGCTTTAATTTTCTCCCTCTGTTTTTTCCCATTTCGCAGGGGGTAACCAATTAAAGGAGCTGTCCACTTGACTGGTACGTCGGGATGCTGACTGCTGTGTTTGCATTTCTCAACTCATCCAGTAGCCAGTCTCTTGAGTGCAGCAAAATTTAGCAGATAGCCCCCTCCCCACCCCACTCCTAGAGTCACCATGCTAGCCCTGGTTTCATTATTTGTTTGACTACTGCATAATTTCATCATCATTTACAGCTTTTGTACTAATAAATGTTTGAATTATAACTCAAAAAATGATGAACTGGGTGCTTGTGTGAGGGATATGTGACCAAGTTATTCGAGTCTCCTTAAGCTCTTCTCATTTTATCCTGCTGCCATTCACATATATTTTAGAGTCAGCTACCCCATTGCAGTTTGCAGTTCTGTGAGTGATGTCTTGGCATATACTGTATTAACGGAATTGTTTTTAAGGTTTGTACTAATAGAGTTAAAGTCTGACCAGTGACAGTGCCTACAAAACACAAATGTCTCTTGAAAAAAAAGAACATGTTCATAGTTGTCATGACCAGTTTGAAGGCAGAAAAACTCATTGTGCAAGCAAATAGCATACCTGATCATACCAAGTTTTTCCCCTTTTATATAGATGTGGTGCATTACATGTAGGAGACCATATTCTGTCCATTGATGGCACCAGCATGGAGTACTGTACACTGGCGGAAGCAACGCAGTTTTTGGCTAATGCAACTGATAATGTCAAACTGGAGATCCTTCCCCACCACCAGACACGGCTAGCACTGAAGGGCCCAGAGCACGGTAAGAGGATCTGTAGCACCAAATGCCTCTTTCTCTTGCTTTCTTGTGCTTTGCCTGCCCATGCTGAATGATCAAAGCTATCGCTGCAGTTTTGTCTGTAAGTGTTGTTTCAGCTCCCCATGTTATGCCTCTGCAGTTTGTGAGCAGCTCTGTGTGTTCTTGGTCTTAATGAACCCTCTGAGATTCCTATGGCCAGAGAGGGAAATGTTTTCCTAAGAAATACCTCTACAAACTTGCAAATGCACATAAAGACACCTGTTGACTCTACTGTTGCAATTGTTGGGGGTGCTATGAGATACTTCAGTAAATTGATCTCTACATTGATTCTTTAAATTTAGAGTGGGGAAGTAGTACCACAGCCAAACTTATTTTCAGCATATTGATTTGATAGTTGTGGTCAATTAATAACACCTGTTCTCCCCTAAAATATGTAAACCCCTCCCTTACTTTCTCTTGTTAATGGCATTATTATTTATTGCCATCATCTTTTAAAGTGCTTCTGAGATTGCTTCACAGGTTCAGTCAGGGCTTATGAAAACTGTTTGGAAACATTTTCCTGGATTGCAGACCTTTTCACTGTGATTCTTATTTCATACCAATATGCTTGAATAGAATTGCTTTCCATTCTCAAATCAAATGTTTGTAAAATGTCTTAGTATTTGAAGACGGAGGCTGCCTGTCTTGTCTTCTAACTAATTGGGAGAAAGTGGCTAATTCACAGTAATCCTTAAATTCAGTCTGAAATAGCACATGTTGATAGACATCAAAACAGTAACAAGGGTTATCAAATACACAGAATAGGTACATGTGTTGCAGCATGAACCAATGGCTTAATTTTTCTGAGCCTATGGTACTGTGCTTCTGCCTCCTCTGGACCAAGACAAGATTTCTGAGGTCTCAAAATGTCAGTGATGTCATGGATATTCTGGGACATCCATGCAGCATCCAGGTTGTCCCTTGATAAGCAGTGTTTTGGACAGTTTCTCAGAGTGGGGAATACTGAACTAGTGACAGAGGAGACATTCGTTTCTCCTAGACCAGGGTGAAAAAAAGTAACCTTTGTAATTACATGTTCTCCCTGTACTCAGCTCTTGCCCTTTTCTACTTAAGCTGCTTAGAGCCACAAGGAGCAGAGTGATACTGCACAAGCAGAATGAGTTGGAGCCCAAATTTGCAGTGTACTCCCATTCCTTTCAGTTATGACAGTACATTGCAAACAAATCTTTCTCTTTTTTTGAAGCAAAGATGTAATGCAATTAATTTCTGATGGTTAAAGAATTTTGAAGACTGTTTTTTGTGGGAAGACAAATGCTGGGGCCAATGATTTGTGTAGATGATTATATTACTTGAAGCAGTTGGTTTGTTAACCAACATTTATAACAGATTGATGCTGTAAATATTCTAGTAACCAGTGTAGATGCTTAGAAAAAGAAACGCTCTTGCTATGCGAGAGTTAAGAACTGTCTGTTACTAAATCATATCGAGGTGATCAGCAAATGATGATCTATTAGAGCATCTTTTGGGGGAAAATATCCCTAATGTAATAAAGTTGCTTTCTTCAGTAAGGCAGAATAACTAGGATGTTTACAGACTGTTCCAGCCCCTAACCAGGTGGTGCTACCACAATATCATGACCAATTCAAGATGTAACAAGCTTTATGGAAGCAAGTTCCCTCTTAGAAGCAACCTTTTATCAGGTGTGGTATGACCTGGAGGCTGCAGAGAGTGAAAATCTCCTTTGCTTTGTCTGGAATAAGCTGACTCATTAGGGCTGTACCTGCTGAGCTCAGTTATTGGTCTTGTGAGAATATGTTAGGAATTTAAAACAGGCAGAAAAGTCAGTATATAAAATAAACTGAAATTTTAGCCCTAAAATAAAGTGAAGTGCTCTATAAAATATAGGATTCTTTTTCATGTTTTTTTTTATCTTTATACTCTGCTGCTGACATTCATTTCTCTTGCTGCCCCATTAGTTTTATGTTTACTATACACAGCCCTGTACTGGAAAAGCTGAAATTATCACTAAATTACTATGGTTACACACAAAAGGATTTTCTTGTACAGAACTTTTATTGAATTGGGACTATCCTTCTACAAGCTGAGCAAACTGAATTTGTGTACTTTCCCACTTTGTAGGACATTTTTATCTCTACTCTTGGCATGAAAATAAAACATTAAGAAAAAATCTCAAGGACTGCCAGATAATTTCCTACTGGAAGCAGTCTTTTTAATTAAACAAGGCTCACAGCAGCTTGAAAATAATGAAAATCCACCTGGCCACATTGTTCTTATCAGATTTCAATTTTTTCACTGTAGTTAAAGTTAAGAAATCTTGCTGTCTGTGCATGTAATTGAAGAGACGATTCCATCTGGGAAGACATTCTAAGTCTCTAAGACACATAAGGCCATATCAGACTGCTTCTGGTGTTTCCAGGACTTTTCTGGCTAACATGAGATTTTTCAAAGTCCCTGAAAGTGGTGGTCCTAGCAGGTGAGGAACCCAAGGTGCACAGATCCAGCCTGGTGGTGGCATTGCACCTCTACCTTGCTTTTGATATCTGATATTGGGGCAAAAAAACAATTCTTTTGATTCAAGGACATGCCAGGGCACAGTGTTCTCATGGAGGATCGCAGCTCCAGGGCAATCTGAGTGAAGACACAGGGTCAGGTCGGGCAGCTCCAGGGCTTGCAGGGTCTCCAGCACTCCACCAGGCTGCAGGGACACGGTGAGCCCCTTGCTCCCCTTTCCCTGTCCCTTCCCTGGTGTGCTCTCCATAGATCCCCCCTGCAGAGATAGGCATGGCTCTTGAGTCAGAGGGGGTAGCGAAGCCAGGCAATTAGCACATCAGTGGTCGTGATACAAAGTGAAACCTCAGGACAGCTTTCCTTCTGCCAGAGCACAGTGCTGCCTGTAGTGGCTGCCCTTTCCCCACCCACCCTTGTTTTATTTCATGCAATAAGATATGAACATAAGGTGTAGGTCCAACCTAAATGCTCAAGGTTTTGGGCTCCTGTTAAAGTCCAGCATGGGGACAGACAAGTCTGCAGCCATTTTAGCAGACTTTTAGCCATTTTAACCATTTAGCAGGTAGCAGAGGGACACAGGTAATACAGCTCATGGGACAAAGACAGCAAACTCTATGTTTTATAGAAACAGATTTAGAGACAGTTTAGATTAGATATTAGGAAGGAATTCTTCACTGTGAGGGTGGTGAAGCACTGGGACGGGTTACCCAGAGAAGCTGTGGCAGCCTCATCCCTGGAAGTGTTGAAGGCCAGGCTGGAAGGGGCCCTGAGCCACCTGGTCCAGTGAAAGGTGTCCCTTCCCATGGTAGCGGGGTTTGAACAAGATGGTCTTTAAGGTCCCTCCAAACCCAAACCATTCCATGATTCTGTAGTATGGGCAAATCCCTTGGTGTTTTGAGACAAAAAATTCAGTGAATACTTCCCAGTTTGAACTGTGCCTTTATGGTTCAGGAAGGATACAGACATGCTGAATTTAATGATGAATATATTGTATTTAATCAAGGGAGACTTCAATCCCTTTACTTTAAGATTTGACAACTGAAATGCTTCCCATTCTCTTAGTAAATACCGGTCTTCACTTTCAGCACATAGCACCCACAATTAAATAATTAAATGCAGTATCAAATTTCATCTAGTGAAGGATTATTTTAAAGTTTTGAAGATCAAGTTTAAAAAAAACCAACGCAAAAACCACAAAACAAAAATACAAAATTGCAAATCCAGCTAATCAATAAGACCTCTTTTCTTTATTAACCAGGTTTCAGGATAGTTTTCCTGCTTCTGGCATTGGGAAGTCATTTACTGCACAGAATAGCATAATGCCAGCAATAGATTGTGGCAAAATTAAAATGTCAATACAGTAAATTGAAATGGCAGGGAAGCATCTCCATTCTAGGCAGTGCCATGTAAAGTATCTGGCTGGTCTTTTTAAAATAGATTAATGCAAGCAGAGAGTTATTAACCTTCAGTTAGTGGTCATATGTAATATCTTAGTATTTTCTGAGAAAGTTTGCAATCTTAGCTCTGTAGCCAGAAGGAGATTAGAAATCAATTCAGTAACCATAATTTTTGAAACAAATATAAAAAAGAAAGAAAAAACTCAATCAGAAACGTTTTTCTGAGAAAAAATATTATTTCTGCTCCTCAAGTTAGAACCCCCTGATAAAAAGACAAGACGAGGTTATTTGTTTTTATTTTATTTTATTTCATTTTATTTTATTTTCAATTTGTTTTCTTTCTCTCACTTCTGGTTTATAGTTTGGGGTTTTTTTATTTTGTTTGTGCAATTCAGTTACTTTTACCTCTTCTCTGGTCCTTTTGTTTTCTGATTTTCCATCATCCCTTCATGCGGGCAGTGAAGGTTGAAAGAAGCAACAGGCAACTTACCTGGGATTCGTGTGCCAACAGCCAGAGCAGCCTCCTCACCTACCACCATTATAACACCTACCACCCTGACCATTGCAGGATGCCAGCCTTGAAATTCCAGAAAGCGCCTCCTCAAAAAAGCCTTCGTAATGTTCACACCTTTTCCTGCTGACATACTCACTTCTCCTCTTCTTCTTCTTCTTCTTCCTCCTCCTCCTCTCTTTTCTTCCTCCTCCCTCCCTTCTTCTTTCACTCATACTTTTCCCATTTCAGGCTCTAAAACCTTTTCAGTTTTATGGATGCTACACTTTTTCATAGCCATGCCAAGGTTATTTCTGACATTTTACACCTTTTCTTCTCTATAACAAAGCAGCCTTTGTAGGCAGGAAAAGGCTTGAAAATTCTGAATTAATCACCTCTTCTTCTATGTATGAGTAGACCATTGGATTGGAAAAGTGTATACAAAGCATGATTTTTGAATGCAAAGCCTTGCTTACAAATCTTTGTCAGAAATTACCTACTACAAAAAGGCATTTCTAAAATCAGTGTATCTAGACATATTGATTTGCATTAGTCTGGGGATATGTGTTGAAAAGTTTAATTTCACATGGTTTTCTTAAAGTAAGTTGTATACTATGAATATATCTTTTGTGTCTACATTATCTTTGTTAGCTTCCAGCAAGTGTTGTCATGAAATGCTGGCTTTACTTTTTCCTAGGGTCACCTGTGTGGTTTAAATATCTTTGTTATTGGAAGTGCACCAAGCATTCCTGTGCATCATACACAGCCTATACATAAAATGTTTGATTCATTGATGAGTTACAGGCATGTGCCGCGCTCTTCTGTGAAGACTGAGTGCTGTATGCCAAGTGTTTGATTTCTTACAGCAGCTCTGGTGTCTTCATCCTTCTCTCCTACCTCCATGAGTGCATACAGCCTGAGTTCCCTGAACATGGGGACCTTGCCTCGCAGCCTCTACTCCACCAGCCCACGGGGGACAATGATGAGGCGGAGGATGAAAAAGAAGGACTTCAAAAGCTCCTGTAGGTGGTAACTGCATTTCCTCAAAAATGTGCAGTGAATGAATGGGTGGAGGAGGGGGAAGATGCAGAAAAAAAGCACAGTACCTTAATTAAACACATATGTTCTAGACAGAAGAGAGAGTTCCTGGTAGACGTAGGGAAACACAAGGGTGAAAATATTTGTCCAATGCTAAAATGAGATGAGTAGATGCTGTCTAGCATAACTATCTCATCTGAAATTTATAAAGGAATATTTTTTTCAGACAGTGCTGGAAGAGTTTGTTATACCATTACTGAAGTGATTTTAAAATTCCTTTTTTAACTCTTCCTGTGTTCATTAGGGAATAGTCAAAAGCAGATTGCTGGTAAGCTCAACCAGCTGTCACATTAGGGAAGGCAGAGCTTGCCACAGCACCTCCTAGGTAGTTCTAATGTTTACATCTACACCATGACCTGTACAGTCATTTTGGTGAGGGAGAGCACGTTACAGTGAAGACTAAATAGCCTCATTTGACCGCTCTCTGGGACTCAAAGCATGGATTGCCTATGAGTCAGTCATTTACCAAGCCAGAACAGATCTATTCAGGCTGTTCCATTTTGCATATTGCTAAGCATTCACTGGGCTGGAAAGAGTGTGGCTGTGTCAGTGCATTTTTTCCCAGACTCCATGAGAGTGCCTCCTCTCTTTTGGTTTGTCTGTCTTTGTGCAACCCACAGCAACTCAGTTCCTCCCGAGCAGGGAGGTGAGAACTGCTCTGTAAATCATTTGCTCTAGGTAACAGTGCTCAGAAGTCCACTCTGAAAGAACTGAGCTGCTGCACATTACAGCACTGCTGCTGTATTTTAAAGATTCCCCATGGTCATAGTAAAACCAGAGCAAACCAGCAGCTTCCAAGGCCAATCACTACAGAATTATGAGAACACATTAGAGAGGAACTGAGGTTTTGCTTTCTTGCAGTTTTTGTTGCTTGCTTGTTATTTCTTCTGTAAAGCACATATTTTTGCATAACATTTGCCTGTAAGTGCATTTTTTGTTTTTAATCCGATCAGCCATTTTTCACAGCTCATCTATTGACATGTTAGCTTCTAATGCATTCTTTTGGGTCAAGGGGGGATACTGTGTCTGTCATGCTATGGTATCAGTAGAGATCCAGCTCTTACACCTTCTCCTCTGCGCTTGAGAACCAGTAGTAGTGTTACACTAGTAGTAATTGATTTGAATAGTAAAATCAATGCAAAAAATTGTTCATCAGTTGTGCTACGTTTTAGCTGTTCAACAAAGGATGAAATCCTCAAAGCTAATCCTGTTATGGATCTTGGACACAGCTGTAACTTGCGCTGTTAAATTTTTCAGATATTTTTCCTTCGAGGAAGCCATATCTGTGTTACCTTGAAAGACTCAAAACAAGGCCAGTGATGTGGCATTTAGGGGAACAGTCACATACGTACTGCAGCCCACCTAAAAGATTTTTCAAGACAGAAGGCCCTGGGGATTACAAGCTGCTATGAGTAAACAAATCTCTAGATAGAAGTTAGGACCAGGCTTAGTTGTGCTGTAGTTTATTACCCATTCTCATTGTGAGGTCTTGATACAGAGCATTACAAAATACCTGAAACTGGCCCCATCACTGCATGGTCAGTGCCTCAGTACAACCTGTGACTGCATCAACAGCCCTGAACTGGAACTGGCTGTGGAGGAATTGGCCGGCCAGCCAGACTTGTTTGCTCTTTTTGTGGGTTTGCTTCTCAGCCCATGCAGAGTTCCTTACTCTGTTAGTAGACTTATACCCATACTTGTGACAGCAATAACAGCCCACTTTAGAGACCCACACTGCTCTGGACCAGGATAGAGAGTGTCCAGTCCTGTATCTTTCCACTATCCATCAACAAGACTTGGAAAACCTCTCCCTTTGTGGGAGACTCATGAGAACCAGGTAGATTGACTGCTGCGCTTTTCATGGAAAAAGAGTAGCAGAGTCTTTAATTTTTAGTGGGATTTTTTTCTTTAATCCAGTTGGATCATTTGAGAGTTGTATTAAAGTAAAGTTTATTAAATCTTTTAGAATGTTATTTGGTAATAAAAATACATAGGTTGCTATAAAGTTTACATTGCCAATTATTTAAGATTATTTGCACAACATAATGTGATCATTGCATAATTCATGAAGATGAAGTGTGATGGCACGATGGGTTAAAGACTTATATCGTCAAGATTTAACAATCATTGCATTAGTTATGCAGATCCTTCTAAACATGTGGCTGTAAAAATTGAGGGCATGCCCTGCTGCCACATGCTTTTTTTGTCGCTTGTTTTCAGGTTTTGTTCTTCTTCTGCTTTTGTTTGTTTGTTTGTTTAAGGTGTGGGATTCATTGTTGGAACACTTAGATTATTATTTCATTAAAGTTTAGATCCTGAAGTATTTTGCATTAGGTCCCTATTAGTGGTTGCAAACGAGCCATAATTAATACCAATTTATTTTACCCGGATTGCATATGTGGTAGAAGTTTGAGAGAGTTTTAGACATGCACAGGTGCTCTTTTCTCACCAGCTATCAGGAAGAATTGCGAATATTTTTCAATTGCTTGTAGGTCAGAGTGGGAGACTGGAGGCATAATAATCCATAGATGCACCTTGAAGCACATCTTGTTCTGCTTCTTGTATAACTGCGGGCATAAAAATGCATAATCTTCAAATTCATGATCAAGATTTGCATAACTGCAGAGCATATAGCAAACCAGCCCCCAGGAATGTTGCCAAGAGTTAGATGAGAGCTATACAAGTATGCTGGAATGTACCCCTAGCAATAGCAAGCAGTGTTCACTGGAAATACAAACACATCCATGTCCCCTTTTAAAATCAACAGCGCTGCTTCCTGGCCTGTAAAATTTCTAATCCACCAAGGAGCCAAAAAATGTCACTGTTTCTTGCTGCAGTTACTGTTGAGTTACAAACCCCAACGTGCTCTAAGTCATGGGTTTTGGTACCTGTGACATTTTACATTTTGGGTACCTGTGGCATTTAGAGTCTTAGGAAATATTGATTAAGAGACATGATTAAGAAAGGATAATTTTAATCTCTGAAAAGTTTTTTTTGTTCCTGTTTCACTTTCCTTTTCTTTTGGAGTGGAAGGAGTTCCTAATTATCATACTTAAGTGTCGACATCATCAAAATGTTTATCAGAGTGAGTTTTAAATCCCCCAGATAGTGACTTAACTTCCCAATGTTAATTAAAACTTTTACTGTCTTTATTTCAACTGAAAGTTGAAATAAATTTTATGAGATATTTAGGTTCCTAGTAGGACATTATAAAAAGAGTAAGAAGGTTACAGAGTCAACTAGATACCTGCTGCATGGAGGGAATAGAGGCGTAAGCGATGGGAGATAGAGATGAAGGTAACAAGCAATTGTTATATGACCTTTAAGAAAGGGAAAATTGAACTTTCCTTTGCCCTAAATTAAGATGTTTCTAGAAGGTGTCTTAGGTATTGTATTAATTTATTTCGTTTCATTATATTTTTGCCTTTGCAGCAGTGAGAGCTGGAGAAACCTATTTCTCAGATGCAGTAAATGCAAAAGCTGATGGAAGTTTCTAAGGACAGATTTTTAGTATTTGTATTTGTGTATAAGCATATCTTATTGAGTGCAGATAAAAGAAAGAGTAAGAAGGAAGCTATTGAGTATCTGAAATGATTCTTAAAAATGATTCTTAGAATTCTTAGAAAGAAAACTTAAAACAAGCTATGAAAAAGAATTCACAGTTATTTGGAAGAGACAGTTTTAGTGTGGGAAGGGGCTCTGCTGGGAGAAAACAGAAAATTGTGAGCTTCTTGGCAAGTGAAAAATTTTGCAAAGATCTGTCATTGCCAGCTGCACCACATCAATCAGATTTGTACTAACTGATAGATCAAAATGCCAATGCTTGCAGCCCCATAGTGTGGGAAAATACTCATATAACCTCTGACATCTTTTTACAGTTGCGCTAATACTGTCTATAATGTCAACATTTTTTTTCCCCGCGTCAAAGGAAAAAAAATGCACAAGTAACCTCTCCCTCAAATAAACTATGAAATTTTACCTAATCCTTAGCAGACATGTGTATGACATGAAAGGCAATAGTTTAGTTTGTCACTGGGGGAATTCAAACCATAATACAATAGACGTTTAGACAGAGGTCAGGGAGGCAAAGATGCAGTCCCTCCTTTTACAGGTATTTTTTGTCTTGATCTGTACTGCAGCCTTTCAGAAAAGGTGTGAGTAAAGCCTGAGTTTCTCATAGAAGGGTCCCCCAGTGGCTTTGAGAGACCCAACAGAACCTTTTTTCTCACAATCCCTTGAGATACACTGGTTGGCAAAACAGGGTGGTTTGTTCAATTTCCATACATTGCCCAGTTAGCCTGACAAATTGCTGACTTATGGTAAACACGTACAAGAAGAAGGCATCCTCACTTCTTGCAAGCAAGCCTGATTCGTGTGCTTTGTTGCTAACTACAGTGAATGGCTGTGAGATGTTCAAAAGAGGAATCTGCCTGAATAACAGCTGGGCTTGTGCCTCCAATTGCCTTAGTTCCTGTTGAAGTTCTGCTTATCCATGCCTCCAGCCTAATGCAAACAGAATTCAAGGATGTCCTGAGATTTTTGGAGTGGGGATATCAAACACATTTATTTTACTCAGAACAAGAATTATCTTTTTGCATTCCAGCATACAACCAGATGTTTTCTATTATCTTATATGCCATAACTGTTTATACATAATTTATAAACTCTAGCCTAAATTGACTTTTAAAGAGACATTTCATTGACTAGATTTATTGTAAAGAACAATTTTCTCAAAAAGCAATGAAACTTCTGCTGTATATGAATGTCTTTCCTCCTGGTCTGCTCTGTTTTATAGTGTCTTTAGCCTCTAGCACTGTTGGTTTGGCTGGGCAGGTGGTCCACACAGAAACCACAGAAGTGGTGCTGACAGCTGACCCCATAGTGGGGTTTGGGATACAGCTCCAGGGTAGCGTGTTTGCTACTGAGACCTTGTCCTCTCCACCCCTCATTTCCTACATTGAGGCTGACAGTCCGGCGGAAAGGTGAGCTCTTGGACTGACTGCTGAGTGCATTCCATGGGCGTTCTCGGGGGCTTTGGGCTTCTTGCTCTCTTCCAGTTTGTGACAAATTGCAGGGCCTTGCTCAGTGGAGTGGGGCAAGTAATGCACTTTCTGTTCTGGCAATGGTGTTTCATGCACTTGGTCAGCTATAAAAGAATGACAAGCGCCGCTGTTCTGACCATACAGAGTCCTCCAGAAGGAGACTGGAAGCTATATTCATGCAAAACAAAACTAAAAAAAGAAAAAAATCAGAAAAACCAGTGAAGTCAAAATAGTGGTAATTGAGTGTGCTAGGGGGAAAGCTATATCCAGCTCTTTTTAGTTTTGGTACAGAATCAAATCTTAGGGAGTACCAGAATTTTGATTTACTAATTATTTCAATTACATTTTTATGCTTATATATGTATTTAATCGTGTCATGGGAATGATAGCAGCTGCACAGACAAGCACCAGCTGCAATTTCACCTGCAGCCCAGGGTCAGAGGCACAGATGATGTCCATGGGTGGGGTGGAAGCATGAAGACCCCTCTTCCTGGGTCCCAGCACCTAGAGGACACAACCCATACTGGGAGTGCTAGATAGTGCTGTGGTGCAAAGTGGCAGCAGCTCCTGTGCCTAGATAGCTTGGTGAGATGCTATGCCATAATTGTCCTTCAAGGTCCAGTTGAAGGTGTTTGATCAGGTGGGTCATATCAGAAACTGAGCAGCCAGCCAAACCAGGGCAGTGATCATGTCCCTGTGCTTGGCACTGGTGAGGGCACACCTCAGGTGCTGTGCTCAGTTCTGGGCCCCTTTCTTTATATGAAAGACATGGAGGTGCTGGAGTGTGCCCAGAGAAGGGCAATGGAGCCAGTGAAGGAGATGAAGAACAGCTCTAACAAGGAGCAGCTGAGGTAGCTGGGGGTGTTTAATCTGGAGGAAAGGAGGCTCCAGGGCAGCCTTATAGCTCCCCACAACTGTCTGACAACAGGATGTAGCCCGGTGGGGACTGGTCTCTTCTCCCAGATAACACACAACAGGACAAGAGGAAATGGCCTCAAGTTGTGCCAGGGGAGGTTTAGATTGAATATTAGGAAACATTTCTTCAGTGAAAAAGGTTGTCAAGGACTGGAACAGACTGCCCAGGGAAGAAGTTCAGACTCAATTCCTGATGGTATTTAAAAGACATGTAAACGTGGCAAATCAACAATAAAAGGGTGGACTTGTCAGTGCTGGGTTAATGGCAGGGCTCAGTGATGTTAAAGCATTTTCCCCACCTAAATGATTCTGTGATACTGCTGGTTCTGGTAACATGCACATCTGATGGTTGTTTTGTATCGTCTTGTACCAAGGTGTGGGGTGCTGCAAATAGGAGACAGAATAGTGTCAATAAATGGTGTCCCAACAGAAGACAGCACATTTGATGAGGCCAATCAACTGCTCAGAGACTCCTCCATCACCAACAAGGTCACTTTGGAAATAGAATTTGATGTTGCAGGTACGAATGTCCTGTTATTCTGTCTTGCAAGAAAAATGAAGGAATAAATCCCAAGTACATTGCAAGTGTTAGGAATCTGAGGTAGAGGTTTTCTTCTCACATCTACACCATTCAGTTTTAAAGTGACTTATTTGAAACGTGGTTTCTTGTACAGCTTTCTCATTTCACACAGCCCTGCAGTCTGCTTCTGAAAGCAAATAGAAATGACAGGTCCTGTAGTAAGATCTGGTGACTGTCTCTCCTCTGACTTATTTCCAGACATTTTTCTGGCCTGAGATAGAAATGTTCTGCTAAACAGAGACAAATCCTCTACAGGCCAAATAATGAAATGTTTCACAAGACAGAAAATTATTAAAAAGGGTGGATAAACAAAAAAACTCTTGAGGTGTTTCACTTACAGTATCTCTAAATAAAATAATAGAAAATAAATTTATAAAGGTCAGAAGAATCATTGTTAATTTTTCTGGTATTATTACTAATGGCATTCCTTTATTCTGTAATGTGTTTAAGCACACAGAATATACCCATGAAATCACAAACTGTGTATATCAAGTTCCCATTATGTGTGTGCACCACATTATGTGTGGATTCGTTTTCTTCCCACTAGATGTTACACCCATGGCAGTTACCTTAGTGGACAGTTAAAAATAAGTGCAAGTCCTGCAGCAGCAAAGGTCAGAAATCCTCATGGCTCAATCTCCTGTCCTTTTAATTAAAAGCTGTCTGCCAGCAGTGAAACTTTCCCATGTGCTCACAGAACTTGCATATGAGCTAAAAACCTGCAGTCTCAGCTGGCTGCTGGCCCATGCAATCTCCACAAATTCAGTTAAACCTTAAAAAAAATTGAGTAACTGTGAAATTACCAGTAGAGTTATAAATCATACCTCCTTCATTTTAGCACCCGTGTTTCCTCCCTGCCTTGTGACTCTGGTGTGATTTCATCAACTTACGTGCATAGTTCCATGCTCGTGGAATTGCTGTGCCTTATAAATTATCTAACATTTTAAATATTTTTTAACAGAATCAGTTATACCAAGCAGTGGAACATTTCATGTGAAACTACCAAAGAAGCATAATGTGGAACTTGGCATCACCATAAGTTGTAAGTACAAGGGTTTATTTTTCTGACCACATTTATGGGATAATCTGCAGATAGTAGATCTTGTAGCTACAGGCTAGCATTTCTTTTGGTTTTTTTTTTCCTTTTTCTAGCTTCTTTTACTCTTTTTCTCTTTTGAAATACTGTTCTGTAATATACTTATACTCCCCTTCAAGTAGTTAACAAAGCCAGAAGTTTGCCAAATCTAATGTTTGACTTACTCCTTCACATGCATAGTAAATATGTAACTCCAATTAAAGTTACTTATTAAAAAGAAAATCAGAATTAGGTCCATGCAAAAGTATTTCCATAGCTGGGAAGTTTATAGCAGAGTCTGTCATGGTCCCTCACAGGCTCCTGAACAGAACCCCACTGAAGGGTCTCACAGACATGAGGACCCGCATACCTAGGGTTGTTTTCTGCTTCAGAACCCAGGTACATCCTCAGTCTCTAGAACGTTTGGCCAGTCCTGAATGTGCAGCTCACAGCAAAATCCCCTTTCACTGAGGATTGCAGAGATTGCTGAAGAAAGCCACAAGAGCTGGCATCAATCTATTTCTCAAGAAGTATTTGTTGCTGTGGTTTGAAATTAAAAGTGTTCCTATATTTATTTTGTGAGGAGAGAGTAAAACAATGTGTTAGAACTGGATTTTGACCAGGTGAACTCCAGCATAATGAATTCAGCTCTTGAGGGAAGGAAAAACAATCCATATCAAAGTTAATGGGCTTGACACTGCAGAATCTGGTGTCATTAGAATTAACATTCTTTTATGGCTGTGGCCTTTCTTAGGCTATTAGTCTTCCTTTGGAGTTTTTCATGTGTCTTGGGGCAAGATTGTGCTTTGTCTTGTATTCTCAAAGCTTTTACCAGCACAGTGGAATATGGTTAATCAAAAGTACAGCAGGGATCTCAGTGCTGAGGATTACATCTCAGGAACAAATGAGAGACACTGCAGGCCTGTTTGTTTGTGTTGCACACTTGAATGAGTGTGATACTGTTAGACTCTGTAAGATGTGATGTGATATTTGAAGCAAAATCGTAGGTCTACACGTATCTGTGCAAATGAAAATACTGAGAAATGAGAAAACCTGGAGTGAGGCTGTTCTATTTAAATGTTATTCTTAAGACTGATAAAGGTTTTTAAGGTTATTGAAAAAATATGATCTTACTAGTAATTTGATTTGTGTTGTTTTTTGGAATGCAGACATCTACTTTTTTTTGTCTGTAGGAATAAACTTTTAATGGAAAGCTAATGTTCTTGGAATTTAATTTTTAGCACTGTTCTTACAAACTTTGCATTCCTTACTGATCTGGAATTTAATTTAAAAAAATTAGTGCTTTATAAAATTAGTGCTTTATATAATCAGAGTAACATGTGGTTGGTCTTAGCTCTCTGCTTTTGTGAATATACTGCAGTATCTTTAATGTATTTAAATTAAATTATCTCTTCTGTATAATAATCTCATTAGTAGTATTTAATTCATATAAAATTTATCTAGGATAAATTATTTACATTGTTTTAAAGGGTTTCTATTAATAACTGGTAGAAGTCTTGAATTGCTGCATGTCATGCTTGCTTTTCAGTGTTTTGCTCTGTTTTACCTAATTAACTGCTAAATAAGGCAATATGATTTGAAGAATACAAACATTTTATATTCATTTTGTCAAATTTCTGTCAGGGCACATTAGCATGCCATTGATTACTGATATTTTCAGAAAGCTGTATGATTTCTTTTAAGGAACAAATACTAAAGGAAACTTGGCAGAGTTGGTATGGATGGGGGGGATGGAGGTGATCAGATTCATTCACTTGTGGGCTTGATCTCTTAAAAGGGCTACAGACCTGTTTCATCCTCTTCCTTCTCAAGTTAATGGAGTTAATGGTAAATGAGAAGGTACTATTAAAACATTACCGAGAAACACCTTTCTTACTTTCCATATCCCCCATTTAGTTTGGGGTTTGTATAAGAAAGTCAGGAAATTACCTAATCTGACAGATGAGACAGACATTTTTTGTCAGACAGGAAGTGCAACTTCACTTTGGGCTGGCATGTGAGCATTTGTCTATTTTTAAGTCCAAGAGTTCTTCTAGGTCAGCTGTTAGGAGTCAGAGCTCCTAGAAGAGGAATTTATTTCTCTTTCTTGGAATTGTTTTCTGTGGTAATGAGCACCAAGAGTGCTTGCATGGTGTTACAACCAGGTGCTTTATTGAAGGCATATCTGAGGTGACACACAAAACTAAAGACAAATAAGCTAATTCATGGTCTTTGAAAAAAAATACTTGTTATAGGAGAGGAGACCTTCTTTAGTTTCAGATTTATTAATTCAAGAAAAAAAATAACAGAAAACATTAAAAATCTCCTTAGATAGCATAACCCCTTAAAAGCAGGAGAGAAGAAAGTTTCATGAGCATCATTGTTAATATTAATCCAGGGCTCTGAGTTTTGGATAGTTCATATCAGTTATCTCCCAGTATAGTGGTCTTGCCTACTGCTGCCTTCATACACACATTGCAGTCCTATCATTTGTCCCTTAGCTCTGCACTATCTGTCTAATTTATCAATGAAAAATACTTACTGAATATAGATCTTATTTCATATTTTCATATTTTGCAAATATACATGACCTTATATTTCATGCTTCACATATCACTAGTTTCACACCCAGTTACCTGATTAGAGCAAATAGCAGGCCTCAGTTCTTAAAATTATATCATCCAAATTAAACACAGGAGTGTTCCTGTGCATGTGATTATGCTTTTGTAGCAGAATCATTCCCTAGAAGAAGGAACATTTACAAGTAGTGCTAGTAGTACTCAAAGCTGTTTCAATTTATTTGCCATTGACATTGACTTGAAACCATGTAATGAATATAGATTTTCTTTTCAAAGACAAAACCCTTTTTTAAAGGTTTTTGAGGCAACTGGCTACTTTATCGCAGACTAATTATTTTTTTGTCAAGAACATTGAATGATGTCCAGTAAAATGACTTACTAGTGGATTCTGGTAATTGTACTTAACAGCTTTTTTTTTTCTCCTTTCCTTTTCTTTTTTTCTGTCTTATGAAAGATTCTGATATCCTTACTGGTAATGAACTGCAGCACCTTGCTTCATAAATAATCTCTCTGAAGCTAATGGGACTATTCAAGGAATAAGAGGCTGCAAAGCTGGTAAGAATATCAGAATCTCACCCAAACTATCTTCAGTTTCTCTGAGTCACTTTGTCTAGCAGCTATACCATAGCTTTATTGTTTTTGTATTTCATTGGAAACAAGCTTTGTAAATACCTAAAGATACATTGACTATGAGAATTTATTTTCTAAAACATGCTTCTGTGTATTTCGGGATTTCGTCTGGCAAGCTCTACTTAATTTTGAAGCATTACAGGTAATTCTTTTCAAGACAGAAAAATATCAATGGATTTCTCAGCAGCTCCACATGAACCAGTACTTAAGGAACAAAAGAGCTGCATCAGTGTAATTTTAAAAAACTTCTTTATTTATTAATCACACTATTCTTAAAAATTTCTAGTAGCTGTAAACCAGTATTGTGGATAAATGGACTGACTTTGTATAAAGTGTATTTTTCCATCACCTGAGCATCTTCCTTTGTTTGTTCAGTTTGTTCAGAGCTTGATCAAACTCCAGAGTTTGAAGCCAGGCTGAAAGTAGTGGGCTTTGTCTGTCTGGTGGGTGAGATGTCCACCCCAAAATCTGTTGAGGTCACTTTGTGGGTGGGTTTTGTTTGAGTTAGCAATGAAATAAGCAAGGAGCATTTTTTGAGGGTTTTTTTAAAATGTAATGGAGCAGCTGATACACAGAACTGACAACATTTCATTGAACTTACTTTCAAGTGGCTGGGTAAGTGTAGTAGAATAGGGTAGAGAGACCTAGGATGGAAACCAGATCAAAGAGTAATTTAAAGAGAGACAACAAACAACTTGCTTAAGAGCAGCCATTTAGCTGAAACACTAAATTTAGTACCTGTACAACTTCGTGCACTCTTCAGTCCACTTGTAGTTATTCATACAGACACTAAGGTCTCTGCAAAGCTGAACAAGACTAACAGCTGGAGCAGGGAAGAAAAAGATGAGATGAGATGAGATCTTCATTGGACGAGGAGGGGAAACAAGTGGAAAGCTGTAACAGAGAGGCAGCAAATGAGGGGAGAGACTGAACTGTGATCAGGGTTAGGGGCAGCTGGGACTTGAACAAGAAGGTTGGACATGGGTGAGTGGTAAGGTGCTTTATTTTTAACAGCCTCTTAAAACCAGAAATAATTCTGAAGTGGAGACTGGAAGCTGTACAGTGTCACTTCAAGCTTGCATTTATTGATGTGGGTATATGAACTGGTCAAAGACTGCTTTCCCTCTGGATCTCTGGTTTCTCTGCTCCCTGGGGAGAGATGAAACAGTGGTGTGTAACAAAAGGGATGGAGGCTGCATAATGAGCAGGATGGAGGATTGTAGAAAGACAAAGGAGGCAATCTCATGTTCAAGGTGGTTAATGCTACCCTGGAGAAGTTAGGGTGGTTTTCCTTTTCTCTGCAAGACTTGTGCTGAGACAAGTCATTCTGGGAATGGGGGATGGAGATTTTCCACAGGTGGATGCTTGATTTTACGCAGAAATATTGAGATCATGGGGTTGCACTTACAGAAATGCTACTCATCTGCAGCTGTTGCTGAAAATGCCAGTAGTTGTATTTCAAACATGGAAGCTGTTATATTCTACAAACTACTGTGAGATATAAAGGCATGGATATCTCAAATTGCTCACTGAAAACTGTCATACTTTAACTACATTTTCCTATGTTTCCTTTGCTTATCTGTAGAATCAGGGTAGTACTCAATCTTCTTGCTGGAGACAGCATTTGTTCACCAGTGTTTGGGAAACAATCTTAGCCTGTGGTAATGTGCAGAAAGGTCCATAAGTTCAGGAGGAAATTCATGATTTTACCTCTGCAACACAACTTGAATAATTTGTAGGAATTATGCCATGAGCATTGAATAATAACAAAATGAAGTGTGGTATACTGCTTCTCATTGTGGGGGAATTCATTCCACACAGAGCTGCTTGATGCCTACAAAAAGGCTTTCATTCTCCAGACCAAATAATAGCCCAGGAGAACTCTTAAAATGCTGCTGGTTCACACTTCCTCAGTTTGAAACTGATAACTTTGTGTGCAGCATCATAATCTTTGCATCCACATGTACTTTGTGGCTCTGCGCTTTGAGCTGTGCTCTTTCCCTCATTTTGGTTCCTCCTCTCTTTTTACAACAATAATGGACTGTTTTCTTAGTTCTGGTAATTTTGTAAGACACTTTCATGGAAAGTATTTCAAAACTCAAACCCTAGTCTGCGGTGGATAGCCTATAACCTCAGAGTAAGGCAACCCAGAGGGCAAAAACATGGAATTAAAAAATCACCAAAGTGATACTCTAAAATTTTAACAAGATACTAATTGGTAAAACAAATTCAAAGGATTCAAGTAAATTATGGAGTTTTAATGTATTTGACCCATGGCATGAAAGTATGAGAAACAAGCTATGAAAATAACATCTTGCAAAAAGTTAATTACTGTTCTCTAAATTGCAACATAAACATTTCCTGAAAGCATGCGGGTTTAGAAAAACTTCTAAAAATTCTTCAGAGTCCTTGTATGTCTGTCTTCTGGACTTTCACATTGCATTTGAAATATGCCTCTTTAGCAGTTCTTGAACAGTTCCTTTGGACATTCAAAGGCTGTCTCAGCCAGGGCAGCTAAGGTTAACAAGACCTGTTAGCATATTGTGTTGGAAATGTCATTATTAATTTACCATGTGGTTGCTGTAGGTGAAGATCTGTCATTCTGCATCAAAGAGAAGATTCTTGAGCAGCTAAAGTAACTGACATCAGGATTTTGTAGGTGATCCTCCAATAAGGACAGTTTTTTGGGTGGTTGTCAGTTCAGGCCTGGGAGCCTGCTGGAAAGGTACCTTCTGTGAAAGGATACAAGGGGCTCAGTTCAGAGCAGGAATGGTGTGGGCCAGTTGAAGAATACTAAATGTGCCAAACTAATTAGTGCTTTCAGGAGAGCTGAGAGCATTATACCACATGGCAATGTTTTATTATCAGCACACTGTTAGCAGTCCCAAAAGTCTGTCTGTGTTCACCACATGGAGCACCTCCTGGGTAGAGCAGCTGTAGGTGGTGTTCTTCCCAGAGGTAGACAGCATGTGCCGCACAGATGTCTAACAATGTGTCTTCCTCACCCTCAAATTCTAAGGTGACTGCTTGCCATATCACATCTACAGTGCAGTCTTCTGTCAGCAAGTGGATGAACCCTCCAAAACAATGCACTCAGCAAAGCGACTTCAAGAAACAGTCCTCTGGACGTAGTGATCACTGTTGACTTCCTCTGGTGTATTTAACTGCTTCCGAGGCAGCTAAAGGTCAAGCAAAATTGCAAAGCAAATTTCCTGGCCAAGAGAAACTTGTCAAATAGTTTTACACAAGTTGGTAAAGAATTGCAATGCCTGGCATTGAAGAGCAGAGCATATTTTTAACCATGAGGGACAGATAGAAAAATTGATCATTAATGTCAGATTCTTCCAAAAAGAGATAAGTGTGCAAGGAGAGGAGTGGTGGGAGTTTTACTAAACTGCCTGGAATTGCAGTTTGTAGTAGGCATCCCCAGTACAAAGTTGGGAAAAGTCCACAATTCTTAAGGTGCAGCAGCAGTACAGGGGTGCCAGGTTACTCTCACCAAAAGTGGCACAGGTTGCTTCAGAGGAAGCAGTGAGTTACAGTGAAGCAAACATTGGTGTGCTGTGAGCTACACCTGTGCAAACCTGCTAATAGTGTATCAGCCCAGTGGGGTGTGTGGCCACTGTCCACAGCGTCTCCTTTATTGGAAGTGGATTCCTCCTTCTCAGCCAGGACACCTTACCTTCATACCTCTGCCTTAAGCACTGGATGGGACACAAGTGGATGGAAAGAATGTGGACTAGCCCACTCTAGATATTTTGCCAGAGCAGCTCTGTTGGACAGGGATTTATTCTGGCAAAAGATCACCATTAGTAGTTGCACTGAAAGATTATAATGACAGAAAGTCTTCCTTATGTGTTACAGCTGTGCAGAATTTTATATAGATCACTGGAGCTGTACTGTGGTGTCTTCACATGGCTCACTCCTGGTCTAACCCAGAATTCAGACATATCAGGCTAAGTTCCCTTTGTACCACTCACTGCAATTCTGAAATTTTCTAATGTTTGAGCAGTATCCAGTCTTGCCAATATGCTGCTGGTGTTAGTTTTTACCTCAAGTTCAGGTAATATAGGGGTAGGGGAGGAATATGACGCAAGTAAGGAATGTGTAGGAAGTACTGATTTATGGTCAAAATTAGTCCATCTGCACATCTAGAAACAAACCCAAATGTCTGTATATGTTCTTTATTACAGCTCCATCAAGCAGAAAACCAGGGGACCCTCTGGTTATTTCTGATATCAAGAAAGGAAGTGTTGCTCACAGGTAAGACTCCCAAAAAAGCTCCAATAAAAATCTGTTTATGTGTGTAACCAGCCAAATTCAAATTAAACAGAGAGAGCTTGTAAGAGACTGTGTGCTTTTTTTTTAAATAAAAACTTCTGTCAAAAGTTAGAAAATAGAAGGCATATTAAGACATAATTATCCTAAAAATCCATCTTGTTTCTATAATAATATTTAGACCTTTCCCCAGATACCTTCCTTTTAATGTTACTTGAGTTTCATGTCAGCTTGTTTGCTTGTTTGCAGGACTGGGACACTGGAACTGGGTGATAAGTTGCTGGCAATAGATAATATTCGACTTGACAACTGCTCCATGGAAGATGCTGTCCAGATCCTCCAGCACTGTGAGGACCTTGTAAAGCTAAAGATCCGCAAGGACGAAGATAATTCCGGTATTAGCAATGACTATGGCAGATTCCTGCGGATTTGCAGGATTTCTAGAGCATAGGGGATTTCATTTCAATTTTAGTGAAATGTTTTTTCTGAACATGTCTTGTTTATGCTAATAATAATCAGAAAATGTCACCTAAAAAGAATTTTAATGGTATGTAAAGTGTTGAATTTTCTCACTGGCTATATTGCTTGCACTGCAAAATTAGGTCTTCAGTTCAGTGAAAAGACAATTGGCCCTCAGGTGCAGCCATATAAAGTTGATCTGTTTCTTACCAGAGTATTGGGATTTTCTCTGCTTTTAAAATTGGAATCATGGTTAGCAAAGCATGGATCCCTAGGGTTCAGTTCTCCAACAAAGTGGTGTAGTGTGTGCTTTGTCCATAAACTTAAAAATTTGACTTTTGACAAGGTAAGTAGTACTTTACACACTGTGCTGGATGTACTTTACACTGTACTTTACACACATGTCTGATCAGCCCAATGGAATAATGGACTTGCCATAATTTTCTGCACCTACATATATTCATAGTCTTGTGTCTTCCCCACCATGGATTCCATAAGAGCAGAATTTCTACCTGGAGATAATAAAGTGAGTTCTGTCATGCACTGTAGGACAAAGGAAGTAAGACAGTTATAACTACTATTACTGCTGGTGTTTATATTACAGTGTTACACAAAAGCACAAAGTGGAGATTCAGTTCTCTTCAGCTCTTTTTGTAAAGAGCTTCTCACAGCAAAAAGGCACAACCTGCCACACTTTATTATTTGAAATTAAGTGCAGCTGTTGAAGTGCTGTTTAGAATTGCACTAGAAAGCTTGTTTCCTTTTTCTTTCCCCCTCCTAACTGATTTTGAAAGCAAACCAAGTATCTTCTCAGTATTATAGTACAAAGCAAAGGCAGCTGCATTTAGTACCTTGTGCAAATTGTTGCTGTAATTGAAATGGGGATTTCGGTCTCCACTCATGGAAAATAAGATCTTTGCTCTCTTAGGTATTGCACGCCATGGTATCTGGTACAGATTTTAGTCTCAGTGGGATTCTTATACCACAGTTTCCTTTTACACACTCTCATTGCTTGATATGTATCTATAGCAAGATTCTCACACAACTACAGTGTTTTATCCGGACGTGATTGGTGTAACTGGACAGCTACTCAGAAACCTACTAAAAAAAATTCTTTGTACAAATTATTCTTGTAAGAGTTGACAAAGTGTCAAAGCATAAATGAAAGTATTTATAGCAGATTTCAGGTACTTTGAAATTTAAAATGAGTGAATGTCTCCTCAAATGTTAAAGAAAAAATATTTAGTGGCATAACAGTAGCAAAGATGTAATAAAAAGTATATCTCAGTTAAAATAATTCTTTTTGTGTTTGCCATTAATTTACTTATGAAAGATTTTTTTCTCACAGAGGAAGAAATGTGCTGCTCAAACTCAACAGAGGAAAATAGTAAATTCCCTGAGAAAATAAAAGCCTAATGCTGATTGATGAGTAGGCATGGAGCGCTCCAAAATGTTTTGTAAAGCACAGAATAAGATTAAGATTTAAACTTCTTTTTATTTCTCACTACATGCTTTTTTGAGGAAGGTGAGGCAGGGAGTGGGGCTCTCTGAACTGTGTTGCTCTGAGCTACTGTGCAGCTGAGGCCACAGCAGGGTGAGGCATGTCAGGGCTCCCCAGACCCTGCTGCTCTTTGCCCTTGTCACTCTATTGCTCTGATGTTGTTCTGATGAGTAACAGGCCACTGGGCACAGCAGAGGCACTGCAGCACAGAGGATCTACTTTCATTAAATGTGGCTTCCAAGAATTAGCCACAAGAATTGCATCACAAGAAAAGAGAGATGGAAAATCTCAAAAATAAGAGACCCATAACCATAGTACTTCAGTTATATCTTCCCCCCAGATGGAGGTATGCTTACAACAATTTTTCCTTTTCTTCTTGCCAGCTTCCCAAACTGAGGACAATCTTAAATCCTGATTAACCTAATGGCTAGACCCATTTCTTGAATATTACCATTCTTTGCTTTCGCATGGCAGAACTGGCCTTCCTGGTGAATTCAGGCCCTGTTCTTGGATAGCTCCAACATTCTGCTCAGCATAACATTCTGCCAGTAATTGTCTGACCTACAGCTAACCAGAAACAGACATAATGGGCCAGTCTTTTTTCCAGTCATTCACTGAGATCTACAGACTTCCAGCTCTCATGTGGAAGGGCTGCTGATTATTAGTAACTTTTTATTCACTTTGTGTATATAGCAGAGAAATGTTAATGTTGTGTCACTTGTTAGCGAGTGCTGGCTATTACATTTTCAGCTAGCCTGGTGTGTTACTTTCCACCTCTCAGCTGAAGCCTTGTACCATGTCCATGCCACATCTGGATGAACAGTGCCAGCATTAGACCCCAGGGGATTTGTGGTTGTTCATAAATGCTTTAAGCAAGCAAAGCTGCCCCTGCTCTGCTGTGCAGTGGCAGCTTGCATGCCAGCCCACTGTGAGCCACACAGGGGGTTCCAGTGACATCTGGGGAGCTGGGTGCTTCTAGGAAGGGCATGGCAAACAAAGTGCATGATGTGAACTGTGCCACAACACTGATGGCAATGCCCCAGCCAGGCACAAACCCCCTGTGTTCTTTGCTGAATGAACACCACTAATGCTTCTCTCCTTTGAGTCTCTGTGTGTAGCTTTTTCTGTACATGGATAGCAAGGAGGATATAGAAGGAGAAGGTGGGGGGCTGAAAATCTAAATTTTCTGAAGATTGGGAAGAAACTTAAGTAGCTTCAAATGTATTAGTGTTCCTGCAGTTCTGCCTAAAGTACCATGTTCAGTATTAGAAGGAGGCAACTCTTTGAGCCTTTGCTAGTGATGTAGGTTTGGGGTTTTTTTTTCCCTTTCTAAGCTTTTCTATCTACAGGAACAGGAATTATAACATTTGAATTTTCTAAGTTGTTTTAGTTTTAGTAGCATTTATGGAATGTGCATCCTAGACATTTTCCACATTCACTGAACTGCTTAAAATGTCATTACCCACAGATCTAAGAGAATTTGTCCACTAGACCAGTTTTCCTGGCTGAATTCCAATATCAGAACATGAGCAAGAAAGCATTTGTTATTTTGAGGAGAATTCTGGCATTTTAAATTTTAAAATATTACTACGCAACTCAAAGATGCTACTGTTGATTGCTCTCCTTCTGTGGTTAGGATTTTTTTAATAATATGTGAAGAGCATTTTATAAATACAGGCACATATCTTGTTGGTGCAATGCCTATTGAGTGTTGTTTAAGGAAATACATTGTATTTAAATTTACTTAGTGATGGATTCTTTTCCAATTCTGATAATTGTTTGGTGAGATAAAACTTTAAAATAATGCCAATTACTTCAAGCAATATCATGAAATAATATCTAATGGACTTACTATTCAGTTTAGTTGATAATTCAGTATACAGAAGATATTTTTGATTCTGTTACAAAAAGCTCAAAACATGTCCATCAAAAACATGGACTATTTACGAACACAGCTGCTCATCTTATAATGACTTTTGAATTTAAGAAAGTTTGGGTTTAAAACTTTTGAATTACCTTTAATTTTAAATACCTTCTATTCAGTTCAAGAAACAGATGAGTATCAGTATTTATACCATATAAATAGTAGTAACTTGCCTTTTCTCTAATAATGTGACACTGTGGCAAATAAGGACAACAGCCTCCTGGTCTGCAAGAGGCAGAGCCTGGCCAGCAGGTCAAAGGAGGTGATGCTTCTCTGCTGCTCAGCAGTGCAGAGGGATTTCTGGAGTGCTGGGTCCAGTCCATGTGCTCCCCAGCGCAAGACAGACATGGACATACGGTGCATGAGGTCCAGCAAAGGGTCACAAAGGTAATGAAGCAGCTAGAGCATCTCTCCTCTGAGGAAAGGCTGGGGGAGATAGGACCACTCAGCCTGGAGAATCTTATTAGGGTATGTAAATATTTGAGGGGAGGGTGTAAAGCAGACAGAGCCAGGCTCTTCTCAGTGGTGCCCAGTGGCAGGACCAGGGGACTGAACACAAACCTAAACACACTGAGGTTCTGTTAGTGTCAGGAAACACTTCTTTACTTTGAGAGTGACCAAACACTGGCACAGGCTGTACAGAGAGGCTGTGGAGTTTCTACCCATGGAGAAATTCAAGAGCCAGCTGGACACAACCCTGGGAAACCAGCTGTAGTTGACCCTGCTTGTCCAAGGAGGTTGGACAGGGAGGCATCCAGAGATCCTTTTCAACTTCAATCAGTCTGTGATTCTGTAACAAAATAGCCTTCAGTTCTAGTTTGATAGGAAGATCATCTAAAGATTTTAAAGAGAGTAAAATTTAGTCTTAACAGAATGAGGAGAGTTTTTCTATCAACTTGTTTTTCTATCAGCTTTTGGTAATAAAAATTTGCATAATAGGTAATTTTTTTGTTTGTTTTTTAGAAAATAATCTGGTAGAATATGGTTAAGAATTGTATCTGAGATGTGATCCTTTGAAAGTGTTGTTCGATTACCAGTCACTAGACTGAATATGCTATTTTTTTTATTCCTTCTTTCATAAGAAATCAATTGCATCCCCTTGGCATTTATTGCAGATGAACAGGAGAGCTCTGGAGCAATTATTTATACTGTTGAGCTCAAGCGCTATGGTGGCCCTCTTGGAATTACAATCTCTGGTACTGAAGAGCCCTTTGATCCCATAATCATTTCCAGCCTTACAAAAGGAGGATTAGCTGAAAGGTAAGTTGGAAAGAAAATTATTTTTAATATTCTCTCTGTCAAAATAGAGGTTTGGTTTGTTTACCTAAAAACCCTGATTTTCCTGGGTTAGCAATAGATTTTTTTATAATTCTCCAAATCTGAGTTCATAATCTTTTTGCTGTTGTTTTTTGATCATTGCCAAGCTCCAGGAGCATGAGCAGGATGTACATACCCTACAAGGCAGAGGATTGTGTATTATTATAGATCACCAAGGAAAACCTAATCAATCAAACTGAGCACTTTGAGTAACAGGAACATTTTAGCAGTCTTTTAAAACCAATAGGGTTGTATAATACAATAAATAAAGAAAGCACTTCATGTGTGCAAGTTTATCTGAACCCATCATACACTTATCTGCCACTGCATCTGCATGTGCACTTACATACACCATAGAAAGCGTTATCAAAGGAGCAGAAATGCTCCTCATGGGAAGTGATAGACAGAGAATAATGAAAATGATCAGGATTTCTGTCACCCGTCATTTCTCAGATTGGATGAGTTGTTGAAATTTGGTGGTTTCCCCTTTGGTGGTGGTTTCAGAGAGAAGGTTCAGCACACAAAACATGATACTGTGCACAGCCAGAACCATTTACACAAAAATAATTTATTTTCTTTTCTTGATTGACCCATCCTGAAGGCCAGGTTTGTGAAATAGCTGTGTTGCTTGCTTACAATGTTATGAGACTTCTAGAAACTTGACTCATTTTAGGACTTACTAAGCTGTCTGAGATTGCTCTTGAGCAGGTGGGCTGCAGTGAGTTTCATCCGCAGGTGATTAACTCAACTGTCACAGTAACAGAGAAATGCACATCATGCCTCAGCTCTGCTATTGTCACTACAACAAAGGTGACTTGCTTTAAGCATTTCTAACAAAAGAATTACTCTGTGACACAGCAGTAAAAGCAAAATGAAAGAAAGAGAGATGAGACTTTAATGCTCCAAAATGCAAAGAAATTGCCTTTGTTGCCTTTTACTCTCTATTCTCAATGTTTTATTTCTCTTTCTTATTGTAGGACTGGGGCAATTCACATAGGAGACAGAATCCTAGCAATAAATAGTAGCAGTCTGAAAGGAAAACCTTTGAGTGAAGCCATTCATTTGTTACAGATGGCAGGAGAAACTGTCACCTTGAAAATCAAGAAGCAAACAGATGGTGAGTGGGGCCAAGGGTACCATCCATGGTCCTTAATGCACGTGTTACTGCAGATTAACAAGCATTTAGCCATCCATGGAAAAGCTTGGTGTCAGGAGTAAAACCCAGATTCTCAGAACTGCAGTAAAGCAAGGATCAACACCTTTTTTTTATATAATCCTATTCAGCTACCAGTCCCAAGAAATTTTCTGTGCCTGTGGGTCACGTGAGTGAGCTGAGTGATGCTGAAGATGAAAGCTCTGCTGCACAGAAATCTGGCAAGCTCTCAGACATCTATTCCACTGCAGTGCCAAGTGTGGACAGCGCAGTGGAGTCCTGGGATGGCTCTGGTATTGATACCAGCTTTGGAAATCAAGGTACTGTCAAAAATACAATCGACATTTAAGGCAGGAATTATTGCCTTCATGGTTGACCTTCCTTTGCCCTAAGTAGAACTTTATCTGTGCTAACTTTTAACCCTGTACTTTATAATGTGCTGCTGTCTCATTATGACCACACATCTCGGCAGGCAGCATGATTTCTTGCACTTGGCTGGCCTCAGATTCATTCTTTCATGAGGATGTGATGTGTTACAAAGCATTTATCAATACATTAACAGGCTTTTGTTAGTTTTACTGGCATCTGAATAGCTTGGTCCATAGCTCATCCACAACTAAATGAGTTTATCCTTCAAGTACAGATCAATGCAAGGCGCACAACACTCTGGAGATGTTCATGAGTTTGATGCCCATATGCATTAATTTTTAAATGACAACAGATTTATTATAAACTGCTCAAGGGCAACATTAGTCATTGCCTATAATTTGTAAATCTTTTGCTTCTTCTTCATTCCTGCAGTATTAACACCTAACTCTCAGCTGTCAAAAACAATCTTTCCATTTAAAGACATGATTTTCTATAATGATAATTTTTCACCTCTCTCTGACTATTGTTTTATATAGAATTTTCAAATAATTTCTGTTTGTAGCACATGTTTATTTAGGCAGTCAAGGATATAGACATCTTGTAATATCCTTGATAATAAGAAAAGTAACTTACACACAACTTCAGTGTTTTATTTAACTCTTTTAAAAATGTTTCTTTCCATAGTAAAACATGTGTTCCCATTACCTGGGAGGTATTTGGACAGATAGATCCTTACCTCAAATAACTTTTCCACTGGAGTTGGAATTTGGATGAATTTGATCCCTTTCCTTAACTGTATTGGTCAGTTTACCAAAATAAGTTATATTAGATTTTCTTCTGGTATTTTTGATAGTTCTAAGGAGAACTATTGCTGAATAAGTGCCAGGATGGTAATTCTCATTTTCTGGATGAATTGAATGTATTTGGAGCAAATTGTTCAGCTGTGGAAAGGATTGAGGCCCAGAATGCTTTCCAAAGTCCTGATTATTTGGAATCTGTGTCAAAGCTGAACCAGTATGTCAAGGCATTTATTTTTTAACTCCCTTGAAAAAATCGGCCCAGACTTGGCTGCATACATGGCACCTCTGCTAAACAGCCTGAGTGCAACCAGATTTGTGCCTTTATCCCTTGGTGTCATGGTGGCCCCCATTTTTATAAAAGTTCATTCTGTCTTGACCCATCAAGCTGAGTTTGGCTTTGCTCCAAACCCTTCTTGGCAATAAGCACAGACTAAGCAAGTTGGGGAGTTTGGGGGATGGTTCTGCAGCACCAGATAATGCTTTATCCTATTAATTACCAATTTAATGCTGGTGAGCTGTCTTTTCTCTCCTTGAATTAATACCCTTTGTATTTTGTACCTTTGTCTTGTGTGTCTGTTTTACTAATCCGGGGCCTTACCCACACATCAGTCACATTTCCCAACCAATACCTTTCCTAGAATCTGGGACTGTGCTAATATCTGCCAGTTTGCTAGAAAATGCTCACAGCTCTGTAGGTACACAGCATTTGAGGGAGACAGGTCTAGACTGATTTATGGAAGCAAATCACCCTCTTTAGGGGCAGCAGTGGTAATAATAACACTTCCTAATCCAGTATGCACAATAATGCACATCAAAAAACACCAACTTTTTTAGTGTACAGAACTAAAAAAGTAATATATCAAGGTGCAGTATATTATATATATATATATGTTATATGTTATATAATATAACATATATATTATATATATGTATATATATGTTATATATATTATATATAACATATATATATAATATATATACATACATACATGCACACATACATACAGACATATATAGTGTATATATTATGTATATCATTCCCACCATAATGGATTTTGCTTACTAGATCAGCATCAGCTTGTGACCCATTGATCCATGTGTTCTTGATACATCACTTGGAAACTGCTTCCTACCCGGAATTCAAATTACAGCTGGTTTCAGTTAAAGTACTATTGAAATAATACTTGCTTTGCTAGTATGATAAAAGCACCCAGAAATAAACTGTACAGGTCTAAAAGCCATGTGATGCCACTTACACAGCCTTGAGACACTTAGAAATGGGTGATAGAGATGGTGTGTATTGGTCCTGGGAATGTGCCCATTGTAAGACAGCTCTTCCCTGAGCTCTCAGAGCCCTAGCAAAAGGGCACGTGAAAAGCCAAGTTCATGGGATATTTTAATGCATCTTTGGAAACTTTTTTCAACACATGTGAAGCAGTTTTCTTAATAAGTTAGCTTTAATTTTGGGCATGTTGCAAATGACCATGTTAACACGTATTTAGCACATCCATAACATGTGATTTATTCACTACTGTTCAATCTAGGATGTTGAATAGGAAATTGATAAATTGTGGCAGTGTCTAGAACTAAATATAGAAGCAGCTGAAACATAAACAGTAGGAGAACAGTGTTAGATGTATTTAGGATTTTGCTTTCAGTGGACTTTCACAAGAGAAACTCTAGAGCATACCTAATTCCAGACATAGTCTAGGTCAAATAATCTGGCTACAGACAAAAATAAGTTAACAATGACAGATTCAACAGTTCCTGAGAAACCAGCTTCAGAGGTGTGCTTTCCTGTCACTTCAGCATATGCATTGCTGCAAATTAGTAATTCCTCTTTTTAGGACACACCTATCAGGCTTCAGGCTACAACTTCAATGCCTACGAGTGGAGGAGTCCCAAGCAGGGCAGTTTGTCCCCTCCCGGCAAACCACGCAATCACCCGTTCCACGATCCAGGACTCAGTGACGACGAGTGGGACCGACCTGCAGCAAGCACGTGAGTGCCAGACCAGTGTCTGTTCTCTGGCCTGCAGCTGCAGCACTGCCTCAAAAATGGACAGCACTTTACCTGTCTTGAATGAAATTATGTTTTCTAATGAAGTTATAGCAGATACAGTATACTTAATGAAACTTACGGGGATGGATTAGTGGTCTTTATGGAGGATTATGATGCCAACACCAAGACCTATATTTATTTGAAGTTACTTCAGCCTATAAAACACAGCATTTATCCCTGAAGAATAAACAAACAAAAAAATTAGGGCATTTCCCTGGGCAAGTTTCAGAAAAAATCTGATCTGTTTTCCACTCCACAAAATTAAACCTACAGATAATGTGGCTGAAGACAGCTGGTGTGTTAATCTTTTGTCTTCTATGAAAATTCATTTTGGTTTGGGCAAAGAAGCACAAATTACAGTCTTCTTCCATAAATGCTTGAGACATTCACATTCAGTAGGAGTGATTCAGTAGGAGTAAAAAGTGATCCAGGTACAAATGTCTTGTCCAAACTATTGGTATTTTGCCATGCATTTATTCCTTCTCTCCTGAGAAGTAAATCTCATTTTCAGTTAATTTAATACAGACAAGAGCATTTCCTGAGGGAAAAAAAAATTACTTCACAATTCCTGGAGATAGTGAAAGACCCAAAAATCTATCTTCTGTTCTAAGTTTTCTTTTCTTTTGTATTTGTTAGTGGATCCACTGCAGAGGCTTGGGTAATTTCTGCCAATGAACAGTTCTTCCTCAGATGTGGGAAGACAGGCATCACAGTAAAAGAGATTTCTGTGCTCTTTGCACCCACCCTCAGGATCTGCAGACATGCATGTCCTTCATGAGAAATACACTTTCTTGGTGTGCCAGCACAGCTAGCCTGAAATCCCAGTCTGTGAAAAATTCAAGTTTAGTATCAAAAAAACCCCTTCCTGGTGCCTGTATAAACACACTGGGTAAGGAAATCCATGAGGTCCAGTCTGTAAGCTTTGAAATACAAATCAAGGCAAAGATTAGATGCTGCTTTCAGAATTTGAATGACAAACCCTCTGATACAGCCCAAAGCTTTGTGGCATTTTGTCTGGAGACAAGCCTGGCAAGATGGCAGCTAAGATATGAGCAAGTGTGAATTCCCAGTCCATATCCAGCTCCTTTGGTCCCTGCTGCAGAAGCACACTGCAGTTTTCATAGGCTAGTAGTGGACAGTGTTTGAAAAAGGAAATCAGATCATTTTCTTCATACTGCCCATTCTTGGTGGCCTAATATTTTTAGTTTAATAGGGTCTTTATCCACAGTTACAGCCCATATTTTGTTTCTCAAATGAGATGCAGCCATGATTCCAGAACAACCTACTGTTTTGCAGCTATGTAAGTAATGTGCTGAAAAAGTTGATGAGCAGTGAATCAGGGAGCTGGATTGTAAAATACAGAATCTTCTAAATGAAAAGCATGTGTTCTATTACCATTTTAAAGCACTGTTCAGCAGAAACTATGCACATTAAAGAGTCTTGTTCTGCTTGTCACTATGACTTACACCTGAGAGATACAGTACACATTAAAATAGCGATTACTTTAATGCTGTATCTGTAAAATGGATGGTGCCACATCTGCTGGTGTTGCTATCCCAAGTGCTGGAGTGTTTGAGAAGGCTGTGTCTGTTCTCCAAGCCTGTTACAAGCACCACTTTTCTTGTAGTTCTAGCTGAACAACTTCTCTCCCTCTGTAGCTGTAGAAAGTAATTTTTTCTTGCCTTTTTTTGTGTAGCACAGCTTCCAAGAATGCGTGGCAACAGAAGGAGACTGAGACATTGGGAGAGAATCAAGAAAACCATTTAAAGCAAACATCTGTAGAAAGATCAGGTGGAGAGAGCATCAGGAGCGTGAAGAAAGAGGGAAAGATGTGGAAAGGTGCCTCTGGAGGGCAAAGGAAAGGTGGGGGACAGCTGGAAGAGTGGAATACTTCCAGGTAGGAAACCAAAAAGTGCACAGAAGTGAGATCCAGCTGGGCTGAGGCAGAGGTGGGGGGCAGGGGGTGTGAGAAGACAAGGGAAGAAAGGAAAATCACTTGAAATGAGAAAAACAGGGTAAAAGCAGAAAAGACCACATTAACTTGCTGTTGATTGACAGAAATTTCAGTGGGCAAGCAAAGGAAACCAGAGAGCTTAAACCACTCTCTAGCCTGGTGTCTACCTATCACTGGCAGGTAGGACAAGTCTGTCACAGTTCCTGCTCCAGAGAAAATGTTTAACACATTAAAACATCAATGCTTACAGGAACGAGTCTGCCAGATCCAAGAACCTCCTGATTAAGAAAACTAAAAAACACAAAGATTTTGTCCCTCATACGGGAGTGAGAACCAAATCAGATACCCATGTCTTCATTGTCTGTCCTACTGCCTTTCCTTCAGTCTTTTCATGTATCTATTTCTGACAGCTCTTTAAAAAAGCGTCAGAAAACCAAATATGTTCATTATGGATCAAACAATATTTCGTATGTTTTAAAATCAATCCCTCAGGTTTTAGACAAAAAAGACATCTAGGTAAATTATTTTGGTACCTCTTCTGGTGTTTTGGTGTAGTAGCTCAGCTACAAGTTACTCATGTGGCTGTAATGAAGATGCAAAAGTTGAGATTTCACACACCAGGAGACAAGACTCAGAGAAAGAGCGCAAGAGGAGAGGAGAGCTGAAAAAGAAATTTTTTCCACTAAGAAGTCCAGACATAGAGGCATCATGATTTTCTGTTTCACAGAAGTCAGAGAAGAAATGGACCTCCAGTTCTAGGAAATCCAGGTTTTTCTGTCGCAGACAATTGCCTCAAATTATCCTGTCATTAGCTTAAACTCCATTTGATATCATTAATGTGCAATATAACAAGAGATATTGTAATGGATAAATTAATCTATATTCAGAATTGACTGTTGAAAGAAGTACATAGATTTATGGGAAAAGCTCATTTCAGAAGTCAAGGATCTTTCTAAAATCATGTTTTAAATACTTTCTTGTCTTGCCTGGGAGGAATTGCATCTGTGATCTGAGTAGGTATTCTTGCCATTGCTGTATCTATTGCAATATCTTAGAAGAGACACTGATGCTAGGTGGAGAATCATTGCAATAAGAGATTGAAATGGCTGACCATTGTCTGCTTGACTGATTGTAGCTGTAAGAAAGCATCTCTGAGGCAGAGTATCATGTGTGTGAAGCATTCAAGCTGTTCTCCCTTGGGCTGGGCAATTCTCCTATTTAAAAGCTGTTCTGTAAACAGAATTACATTCACGCTATTCTCAGTAACACATTGTTTGTCAAGCAAGGCCTCAGATGCTTCCATAATAGTGTTTGCTCTGTTTATGTGCTGGTTAAGCACCACTAGCTGCAGTCCATGGGCAGCTGCTCCAAAGTAACAGCTTGCTGCCACCAAAAGGGCAAATTGTCACTTTCCTTCCTCATCCTTCTTCCCCTGTGCCTTTCACACAATCAGCCCTCTCCCATGCAGCAGCTCTGATGCTTGTGTGAACCTTTATTGAGCTGCTTCCCCTTGCTAAGGTAGAACCCCCTCCTGCTTCCCTCCCTGTGTACACACATACACTGTAAAGGTGTTGCTTTGGGCTGTGTCACCGCAGCCCAGAGTGGAGGTTTTTATCAGACCTCACTTTCTGAGCAGCTACCCTAAGCATCACTGTTACCAACATCTGCTCAAGAGTGCTTTTAATAAGGCTTTGGGTGCATTTATGAAACACCAGAGACCTAAGTTTCCATGCAAGACAGTGGCATCCCTGAAAGTTTCTCTGTGTTTATGTATGAAATGATTGGAGCAGTTTCTATTATGGCAATCAGGTGGGCTTAAATTGATAAATGCAGCTTAGGCTGAAGGAATCAGGTAAAAAGCCCCACCAAGCCTCTTTTGAAAAATGTTGTTTGCAAAAAAAAAAAGAGGACTCTTTCCATATTGCCTGGGAGAAGTCTGTGAGGTTGAAAGGTTTTATTGCAAATATTTGTTGCACGGAGCAGCTCCACACACAGCTACTGGTTAATTCATTAATTTTCATAGGGAGGTCCCAGTTTCAATCCAGTAAAAATGTGTATTGAATTGTTCTTGGAATCCATTTATCTCCTTACTGAACAACTCGCTGCTCAGGTCCTGCCAGCTGCTAGTGACTGCCAGGTTATGAGAAGGCTTGTCTGTCATGTGCTCTGCATGTCCATCCGGCCTCTCCTGGTCAGCCACTCTCCCACTCTCCTGCATAACCTTGTGTCATTCAAGTTGCAGTCTGTGGCAAGGCACGTGTGTAATATATATTTTTAGAGGGGGGAAAAAGTCCACATTTTTTTAACTTCTTATTGTAAATCTAGCTTCACAGGTACCCATGATAACACCGAGGCTGACCAGGAGGAAAATTTCTGGTCTCAGGCTCTGGAGGATTTAGAGACCTGTGGCCAGTCAGGAATTCTGAGGGAACTAGAGGTAGAACAATCTTAACCTTTCTTTCCAATTATAGAGAAATATAATGGTTTTGGTTTGGTTTACATTCATTTTATTTTCTCCTTTTTTCTTTTAAGTTGCACTAATCACACCAATTCATTTAAAAGCTTTAACCCCTCTCCACAGGACAAGGCTGACAGGCGTCTGTGTTTGAGAAACATGACTCTCTTGGTACCTACCCTTTACCTTTATATTTTTGCTTGTGCAGCTGCCTCCCCTGCCCCTAACCAGAGCTGTTTTCTTTTGTGCAATGCAACCAAAATTCTATGAACATGTTCACCCCAGTGCTTTTGACTTGCAGCTTCTGCTGTGCATAACCATCGATGCTGTCTGTACAGGCAGCAAATGGCACAGAACTTCTAAGTGGGCATAACCTTCCTGCAGCAATACATTCCACTCGCTGACAGATGCTTCATGCAGCTTTTCTTAGCATGTTGTAGGTTGTCTTTTAAATTGAAACTTAATTTGATTAAGATGAACATAAAAGAAAATCAGCTTCTCAAAATGTTTACCTGTAATCGTACCACTCTGGAAGAAAAAGAAGCTGCCAATGTGAGAAATGCTCATTATGCAGCAATTTTTTCACTGTGTAACAAATTTCCATATTTCATCCTTAAGTTTATTACAAATCTAACCATGCTTTGTGTTAGATTGTGCTGAGGGCATCAGGGGAAGAAAACAGAGACAGAGTAACTTGGGAGTGTTTAATTGTCTAATCACCTTTTCTCTAAGTTATCTAATCAGAACAATTACCATCATACTGCCAATTAAAGCTACAGAATGAAAGGTCCTAAAATATTTTCTTTTATGTTCTTTTAAATTCCTAGAACTGCAAAACTGGCAGAATCTCATTTTCATTTTTATGTTATATAAAGTCCTTTAGCAGCCAGGAGGAATGTGAATGGCATAACTGGGTGAAAGTTTTTCAGTTCAGATTAATTTACTTCCTCAGATTTATGGCTTTTGTATTGCATGTTCGGGTAGCAAAATGTGATTCTCATATATTTGTTATTGAAAACCAGAGAAATGTAGGAGAAAATGTTATACTGGTTTAATTCCATAGTTAGATATGGTTTAGTACTGCAGGCTTCTCTTGCAGTTTTCAGTATTCAGAGCATAATAAAAGGATATGGAAATAGATAATTCCAAAAGAGAAATAGGTCATCCATGCTGACCAGAATTCAGTTATTTCAACACACTGAATTTTCCTCAGCCTTTCACGAAAGTGAAATTCAGAACTGTAGATGTACCATTTATAGCATCGCCTCGTTGCACAACCCCCAGCTCTGAAAAGAAAGCCAGACTCATTCAGTGTGACAGGATGCTGAGAGTGGCCATGTCTCTGCTTTATGAAGTGCCATGGTGTAGTCAAGGACTCCTTATCATTTTTCATTTCAAGGTCTTAAGCCAAAGAGCAAAACAGGCTGTTGTTTGCCAAGTCCTCTGGCTGCTTTTGCTCCATCAGGCAGTAATATCAGTCATTACTGAGCACAAAAGAGTGTTATGGCTACCATCCATTATCTTATAGTGAAAGTAGTGCTGCAGCTGTGAGAAGGAAGGGTGACAGACATGCTCACCAGAGTTATAGGCAAACATTTATTTGTCTGTTTTGCCTTTATTTTTTACTTCTCCATTCAAGCAGGCTGTCTGCATCCAGTCCCAGTCAGAGTTCAGGTTGTGGTCTTTAAATTTCCCTTTCCAGCTGTCCATCAGAAGAGATAATAAGCAGGAAATTCAGCACACCCTGTGCCCACAGTGGCTGTGCCAAAGCGCATATGCCTCCCATTCCCCAGAGCAGAAAATCTTTCCCAAGGGTGAAGGCTCATTGCTGTGCATGGATTCTTTTAAAGTTCAGTCTGTTCCACACAGTGGGCGAGGTGACTCCCATCATCATCTTTCATGATTTCATGTATTGTTGCATCTAAAACAAAGGGCTTTTACTGAGATTAAAGCCAGCAGTGAGACCAGGGCCAGTGTAAGTGCTGAGCTAAGGCAGCCACTCTTGCAGTGTGCATGTCCTGCAAAGTTTCTTTCCAGGCACTGAGCTCACCTGCACTGAGTTTTCCCTGAGCTTGGGTAGAGCCAGGCACTCTGCCCATGCTGCCTCTAGAGCTACCTACAAATTCTGCTGGCTCACATATTTTTAGCTTGCACACACAGTGTGAATTGTAAATGCCTTCCTGTAGTTCCAATTCCAGCAAATGCAATTATGCCACAACTTAGATGTTGTTTTATTTATGTGTAAAATATTTTTAAAGTAAGCAATTGCACTACATAGTCTTCAGTCTGCCAGGGGACTGGCTTACAAGCACAGCAGTTCTGATGCTCAGTATTTTAGTTTAAAATGCCATCTGAAAACTTTTGCCCATAGGGTTCATATATTGTTATTGTGTTTTGTTGTGGTCTTTATTTTATAGTGACTTGCAAGCAGATTGAACATCTATCCTCTTGCCTTTTGCTGTGCCCTGAGTGATTGTGTTCTAACAAAGAATAGAGGTGTTTTTCCTACTGCTGTGAATTAACCGCTTACTTAACCCACATTCTCTGTTACAAATTAACCTGTTCATTAATGCTCTAGGCCACAATCATGTCAGGAAGTACAATGAGTTTGAATCAGGAGAACCCACAGCCACGTAACCATCTGGGAAGACAAGCCAGCTTCCAGGAAAGAAGTTCTGTAAGGCCACATTACAGTCAAGCTACTCGTAGCAACACATTACCATCAGATGTGGGGAGAAAGTCCATGGTTCTGAGAAAATTTAAGCAAGAAATGAAAGAAATCATGTCACCAACTCCTGTGGAGTTACACAAGGTCTGTAATTTTTTTTCTGACAGCTTTGAAATAATATATTCAGCACATGAACTCTAATTATATGGCAACACAGTAAGCACTTTTTATAATGACTCCACAGATGTAATTTGGGGGCCGTGCATATTAGTTCTTACAAACACATTAATGATAGATCCTTGTGGGGGAAAACAAATGAATAAGATGCATCCTTGTCTACTATTTCATTTTACAATAAATCCTCAAAAGGCACTGCTCTTTTGAAAGGAGCATCCGCTGGTAATTTGAATTGACAGGACCAATAACTCTTCTCCACAAAATGTGTTCATTAAGAAAGCAAAGTTTAATTTCTAGAAAATACATTTCTTCAGGAAATTACTCAGGAGGGTTTGGGGCTCCCATAGGTCCTTTTTTAAATTAACACTCATTTTGAATCAAATACAAGGAATCCAATGTACATAATATAGAATGTTATTTCAAATTAGGTATTGCTTCTTTTTTCTTTATAATTCCTTTGCTCTAAAAAGGATAAATAATCTTCAGACTATGCAACTTTTCACTGCTCAAGATGGTTGGAATCACTCAGTGATATGGAGGTGGCACTGCATTCCTAGCAAGTACTGATAAAGGATGTTTGGATATGCCCAGCAAACACCTTGCCACTTTAGGTCTCAAGTCCAGTGAGGTCATAAGAGCAACCAGTCTCCAAAACTTTTAGGGACATTATAATGCTGTTCTCCCTGATGGGAATGAGCATCCTATTTCCTGCACCCACCTTCCTCCTAAAGGTCTGAGATCTTTCCAGAGAGGAGGCAGAACAAAGGGATATTTCATTAATATGTCACCTGGTCATTCTCCAGCGATTTGGGTTGGTTTCTAAGCCCTGTGGATTTGCCTGAGTTTAGTCTGTAGTTCAGTTGAGTTCAGCAGTGTAAGGACTTGCTGAGCATGGGCTAAATGAATGTTTATACAAGGTAGTAGAGAATTGATCTCATATGGTAAATTAAGTCATTGCCAATGTATGTTATCAATAAGGATGTGTTGGGATACTTTTAAGCTATTCCTATTTCCAGCTTGATGTGATCAGTGGAGTTAGGTACTGGGCTCAGTTTTTCTGAGTGGTGAATAAATGTGAAATATAAAACCAAAGTATGCCAGTAGGCATTTCACAGTGTGCTCACATTCAGCAAAGGCACAGCTCTGGATTACAAAGCCAGCCTTCCATGTTAAAATAAATCATTACCTGGAAAGGGGTCCTGAGATTTCTGTTAATGAGTCCGTGGTATTCTGTGATAGGAACTAGCTGTTGAGTCCTGGGCAGTACAAATAACCTGTCCATGAGCTTTCTCTTGCTTCAGCTGACTATTTCTAATATTGCTTTGACCTTCCCTTGGAGTAATTTCCAGATTTTGTTCAGACAATATACCCACTTTTCCCCTGTCTGCTGAAGTGATGCTGAGTTTGCTTTTACTGTCTGTTCTTTCACCCAGAGAAGAGTCATTTCCTCTCTAAAAAATCTAAACGTTGAACCTGTACCAAGGATTTTCCAAATCCTTACAGTCATTCAAGAAAAATAGAAAGTAGTGACTGGATGTTGTGCTCTGATTCCCCAAAGTGAGGTTGTACCCCTGTGACACACGCAGGTTAGCCCAGGCAGCATGGACTGCTTTTTACCTGAGCAAGTTCTCACTTTTTAGTTTTCCTGCTGGTTCTTGTGCAGCAGTGTGCCTGCTACTTTCTCTCATGTATTCATGTTCATTTTTGTATTGGACCTTTAGTTTAATACCCTGTTCCTTTGGACAGCTTATTCAACCAGAGTTTTCCAAAAGAGCTGCAATGCCATAGGAATGACTTCACTGTCAGGGAAATGCTTTGGTTGAAGTATTTTTCATGTATCCTCTTGCTGGCAACGTGTTCTGCCCTCTGCAGGCAAACGTCTTAATTAGCTGGGCCACTGAAAAATAGGAAGACTTGGGAAAATGTGATGGTATGGGCAGTTCTGAGGTACAAGCTAAGACACAGCTTGTCTAAGACCTCCCTTGGCAGATTCTGAAGTCTGTACTTGGCTGAGCTGTGCCAGTGTCTGGGCAGGGCAGGGCAGGTGCCACTGTCCTGTGTCACTGTGACCCGTCTGCATCCCTGCTGAGGCAGGGCCTGGGTGCCCACAGGTCAGAGCTCACTCTGCAGCAAAGCAGCCTGAATTCTTCACTGCTCCTTCCTTCTGCATTGCATTCACCAGCTGTGCTCTTGAACTGTCTGTGTCCTGAGGAAAATAGGATTGAGATAAGTGTCCTACAAATCTCTTCAAACATTTGTTCTAGATGGTTTAATAACATTTAATTTAGCTGGATAGTGTATTGCTATATCAGTACCCAAATTTAATGAATGCCTTTAATGATTTTATCTACTTAGATAATAATATAGATTAATATTTTTATAAAAATCATAGCAGACCATTTTTTAGAAGTTTCATAGAGCACACTTTCCTCTGAGAGCAAAAATATGCACTAGGATCAGATAATTTTTCAATATTATTATTACAAGTAGTCATTAACCTAAAATTACAGTCAGTTAAAATATCTCAATAGCTGATCTGTGCAAGATGTATGAATTTAAATTAAGCATTTTCCCATAGACTTGAGAGGGAGAAGAGGCATAGGCACAGACTCAAAATGTATAAGCTTGTGTTTTAAATTTGTAACTATTTAATTGCTTATGAAATATGAATTAAATTTCCAAATCCACTTTCTTTTTCCCTTAGGCTCCTGATATAAATTTAAAAGTCTAATATATCACCCAGATGGAGATTTTGCTATTGAGATCAGACCTTCCAAAGAGTTGTGATCAGCAATAGAAATAAACCAGCATGATTTAGGTGTTGTGTGAATTGTCTGCAGTTTTATTCCTTTCAGAGAGGGTTGCTGCAAGTCAAGATGAGGAACCTGTGGTAGGGCTTTGTCCATACCCATTATTGAGTAGAAATTGAGTATTTCAGATAGCAAGGCTTTTATCAGAGATTATCTTTGAAGAATATATGTTACCCTGGGAAGAATTAGCCCAAAAATTATAACCTCTAATACAAAAGAAAGTTGTCTGCAGATGACTTCCATCTGAAAAATGTGACAGCTGTCAAACATGCAACAAAGTTAAATTGCTATCTCATGCCTGAAGCAAGCATCAGTTTCTTTAAGTTCCAAGCTCCTGTTAAGCACAGCAAAAGTCAAGAGAAGATAGCCATAAGGGGAGCAGGTTGTAAAAATCTAGGATCTGTATATCTGAAGAACCACAAGCTTCAGGAAATATTTTGAAATGTGTAAGTTGTGATTGATAAACGACGGGATGATCATTCCCAATGCCCATCCTTGTCCCCTGCCTTGCCTGCTCCATTGCAGTCTCTTCCCATTGACTCTCTAGAGCAAAGCCCCTCTTTCATGCCCTTTGTAATTTGAAATGCTCCATTTTTTGTCTCACAAGGTGGGCATGAAGTACACATGCATTATTAAAGACAAGATCCAGGTTAAGGTGTGCTAATGTGTCATGGCTCTTCCTGTGGGTGTCTAGAGCTGGATTTATGTGTGTGCTGTTTATGATAGATCACTCACTGAATATAGGGAAAAAAGCAACTCTGGCGTGGAACATATGAATGGGACCACCATCCCTGGTGAGCTATTCTGCACTCCAGTTTGGCTTCGAGAAGGTCTTGGCTGTAATAGAGTCCAGTATGGGATCTGAAACTTAAAGAAAGATGTTGACCATATGGACAGGATCCAGAGAAAAATAAGCCTTATTTCACATCACTGCAGAGAAAGACAGAATAAAGTGATCTTGATCTCTGTGGATAGCAACAGGCTTAAGCCTCAGCAAGGGTGTTTTAGTTTAGACCCAAGGGAAACATCTGAATGACTAGAAAGGATTACTTTAATAGACTGTGGAATCTTGATCAGCGGAGATTTGAAAATGTGGGGCAGATAAATGTATCTCTGAAATGCCTTAGGTGCAGTTGATCCTGTCTTAGGACAAGAATGAAGTCTGGATGGCTTCAGAGAGTCCCCTCTTTCATGTGCTTTTGTTGTTCATCTGGGGCTGGATCCAGCTCCATTTGACTCCAGTGCCTGAAGAAGGGGAAAAGAAAAGGAGTAAGTGGAAAAGAGAAGTTCCTTTTAAAAAACATGCCACCTGTGCTGGAACAGGACAGAATATTTCAAGTCTGCTTCTCTTAGGCATTGTATCCCATTTTTACATTAACTTTTCAAGGCTTCTTGAAGACGCAGTTAACTTGAAGAACTTCTGTCCTTTGTGATGATGAGGATAAAAAAAGTTACTTTGCAAGAAGGGAATTTGAGTCTTGGTCCAGAGCTTGTTATTTTTAATTTCTGCCAGGCAGTACAAATCCAAATCTATCAGTAAAATATATCTCCCTGCTTTTGTTTTTGGTTTTGTTTTTAGTCTTGCAGAATGGTGGTCTTACAGCACTTTTGTAGCAGCTTCAAACACACTCTTCATTAAAGCTATGTTAAACATGCTGTGATATCACCAACAAAAGCCTCTGTTCATAGCAAATTATTAGAATTTCCCTAGAGTCCTGCTGATAATAGCATCTGTTGATACAAATTAAAATCATTCTATGATTAATTACTGTGAATTTGCAGATAGGTTTTTCAGTAGCTAAAATGCCCATTGACTCCTAAAGTTCATGCAGGGATGGAGGACATATGACAGATCCAGCAAGAAGTTATCTTGGAGGAGGATGGGGGAAGAGAAGGCAAGAAACTTAAATTCCACAGTCCCTGCAAAGTATGAAATGACAGCTCATACCCAAAAATGTCCCTGGCAAGAAGAAAACCTTTAGCCTGAGGGGACTTTAGGTGTGGCTTTCTGCTTTGCAGGGCTGTTCAGGGGGATAAAAACAAGGGAAGAGGAGGAGCTGGGGTAAAGTAAGGGACGAACACCACGTGGGGGTGTTGGTGCTCCCCATGGCACAAGGCTCTGGTGTTTTCACAGCAGCCCCACAATGCACCATCCACATTACAGAGAAAATGGTGCTACTGCTTCAGCCACTGCCCTTGTGTCCAGCTTCTCTCAACTGCTGCCCAGCACAGCTACCAAACCTACTAGGGAGTGTGATTTCATTCTGGTCACAGCAGGGCTGATACACCCCTAAACCCAAGCCAAGAAAAATGCAGAGAGCAGGAAAGCAACCCAAACCCTTTCTCCTGTTTTGAGACTGGTCTGATCAGGCATACCTTTTCACACTGGCAATTTAAACAGGAGCTCAGCAGCTTTCTGAAGGCAGCACCAACCAGTGCTGTGCCCCAGCACTGCTGTGCCTTGGCGTCCTCCTGTGAAATACCGACCATGTCCTCAGCCTGCTCTGAGCAGGACACTGAACTAGAGACTTTTCAAAGTCCCCTTCAATTCAAATGATTCTGCAATTCAGAAACATCAGGAAGGAATTCAGTGGCTGGTGCACACACAAGGATGCAACACATGGAACATTATTTGTACCAAGTCATTACAAAATTTTGGAACAGTTAATGTCCTTTCTATCAGCCAAGGTATGATAAAATCAGAGCATTTTGAATGAAAGGTGATACATGCTACAGCCTTAAAAACACGGGTTTGACTGTGCAACTGTAACTCTGCACAGTGGCACACCACTCACACAATTTACTTGCATGGGTCAGCACCCCTGATATGAGGGAGGACCAAAAAAAAATAAAAACCTAAAAAAAGCATGCCACTTACCCACAAAGAAGTCTCTGTCTTTATCTGTCAAATAGCTAAATTCACAGAACTATCTGTGAGGACTTATCTTCTGAATAACTGAAAAGCCTTCTCCCAACTGTTTCATCTTCTGTTTCCTGCTTTTTAATGACCACCTCATGGTTATGTAACTATAAGAACACTGCCTGCAAGCTCTTTCAGAAGGAGCCTTATTTGTGCTTCCTTAAAAGATTGCATTATAACTCTTATACTGAGCACTTCTGAGGTTAGGCTTTACTGGGTGGACCACTACCAGGCAGTCTGGAGCTTAAACTGACAATAGTCTTCATTCCCTTGATTGCAAGACACAACACCAATTGTTTGATTGAGGCCAGATCTTTGTACTTAAAGCAAAACTAAGCCATATCTTGTACTCAGATCCTGGCAGCTAAAGAATAGAGAGACAAAACACTAAGAATGAAAAAGTGACACCAGAAAAGGTGGCTAAATACCACAAATTTCCAGCTGACAAGCAGAAATGAAAAGGGCTGTTTATTTACAGAAGAAAAAGGTGGCTTCTGAGAATATTAACATAATGTCAAAATGGCGACAACTTTTAATCTGTAAGTACCAAATAGTAGGTAAGTGATCTCTCTAATGTGAAAAAAAAAATTAAAAATCACCAAAACCATCCTAGGAAGAGAACCTGCTTCATGCTTGTAGAAATGGGAGGATAGTGTTTTTTCTCATCACATCACCTCTCCTCCACAGGTAACTTTGTACAAGGACTCTGATGGAGAAGACTTTGGGTTCAGTGTCTCAGATGGTTTATTGGAAAAAGGAGTGTATGTTAAAAACATTCGACCAGCTGGCCCTGGTGATCTGGGAGGTTTAAAACCATATGACAGACTTCTACAGGTAATGTTTCTGGCACTGTGCAGGTCTAGCATGAAGGGACATGACATACAGATCACTTTTATGACCACACTGTGGGTATTTGGGTATGTGTCTTTGGAGATGTGATTGTAGAAAACTGTACTTTTTCAGTTTTGTTACTTGGAACAGCCCTGTAATCTACGTTGCTTATTAAATAATGAGTACCACTGTTTGTTTGTATTTCTGCTGGGAAGGGATGTGTGTAGGGGGATCAAGAAGGACAAATGACCATAATTGCTCTGCACCACAGGCTGTGCTGCGTAGATTTCTGAGATTTCTTTTCTTGGCAAGAAAAGGCAGCACTTCATGGAGCTTTGGACTTTTATGCAGTGGCACTAAAGCTAGATTTTCCTGTGCAGTCAGGTTTATAGCAACAAATTCTTTCAGAATGCTAGGTATTTTAGAACTCCAAAGGAGACATACAAATGCTCACTAGGAAGCTGCAATTTCCCACATCATTTCCAGACAGATTTTTCTTTCTTGCTTTTCTTGATACAAACCTGAGAATTATTTCTGTGTTTAATCCAAGTGCTTACTGATGTCACTGGAATAATGTAATACTTACTCAGCACCACACTTTTCACGGTGCCAAGTTGGACTATGATGAAAAAGCCAAATTATTTCTCAACTAGCCTAATAAATTTATATATATTAGGTAAAACCAGAGAGGACTTGAACTGAATTGAAATTACAGATGTGTTCTACTGCATTTTAAGTGACAAACACCATGAAAAACTATGTGCTGTTAAATGTCATTATTGGAGTGAGCATTGTGAAAGCTGGCAACAGCCAGCACCAGTCTAAATATCCCCACCTCTGTTACATTCTCTTTAAAAGTGAGTAGAAAACTTAATTGATGTCTTCAGACCAGACATCACAGTTAAAAAGTCTTACGCTGGCCGATTCTCTACCTGGAATAGTTAAATCAAGCTCCATAGTCTCAAGAATAAATTGTTTCTCATCAATCAGGTAAACCACGTTCGCACCAGAGACTTTGACTGCTGTTTGGTTGTGCCCCTCATCGCAGAATCTGGCAATAAGCTGGAACTGGTCATTAGCAGGAACCCCCTGGCATCCCAGAAAGGAGGCTCAGACCAGCACCCTGCAGGGAGCGGGGAGTGGAGCGACCCCAGCGCCGCCTTCCTGCAGCAGAGCGCGCACAGCAGCGCCGGCACGGAGACACGGGACCCCACAAACACCTTATAGCAGGAACCACTGCGGCAGGACACCCGGCAACTACAGACAATTATGGTGCTAAATCCATGCAGGAGTGCTCTGAGATTGAGGCTCAGATGCTGTACAGCACTGAAAAGCACAGGAGGTCAGTTGGTCTGTCTCAAGGCTTCTATTAATCCACGGTTACTTTGGAAATAGTTTCATTCTTCATTAAGTCATTTTCCATTCTAAGCAATCTAGGATTAGTAACAGTAAAAAAAAAAAAAAAACACATAAGGGCCTTTTTTTTCCCCCAATAAGAAACTGGGGAGATGTTTTAAACATGATCTAAATGTTCTTCTCCCTTCAGCAACAGCAGCTGTTTGAGGGAAAAACATGGAGTTAACCTCTGTTAACAGTAGTGTCCAGGTTATGGTGTTTTTAAAAATCCTTTTATGAGGAAGGTGCTGCTGTCTGATGGACAAGGAAGAGTGTTTTACTGCACTGGGTTTTCCTTGCAAATGGCTACATCTCTGATTTTGGAAACCTTTATTCGCTGGCGAGAAGGGTGCACTCATTAGACATAGCAGGGTTTAGATGTTATAACAAAATGCTTGCAGGAAGCTGCAGTCTGCATTGAACATTGCTCCCCACTTCAGCAAACTTTGTTAGAACATTTGTTACTCCCTATGCAATGAAATATTTAATGGTATGTCTTGCAACCTGTGGGGATTTTTAAGCAGAGACTTTTTTAGTGGGATAAAACCTCTGACAAGGGATTACTGAAAAGAGTGGAACTGAAATGAGTTTAGACAAATTAGAAAGGTTTTTTTAAAAGAAAATGGCTTTTTTAAAATTATGTCAGTGGAGATTGATACAAAAGCTCTTTAATGATCCATAAACCTGTAAACTTGTACTGTCACACATGAGCTTTTTAAGTCAATCAGTTTCTTGAAGGAAGAAAGGTCCTATTTAATATGCTTTGTTTTCAGTCTTCTTTATGATTAACATTACCCCCTGCCACGCATTTTTAGAATATAAAATTGTAAATATATTTTACAAACACATCACACAAATTGTCTCCTCTCCCCTCTTCTCCCAAGCAATAAAATACTGCCAGTTGCTTTATATGCTCACCAGCAGCTGCATTGGTTTATTCTGGTATTCAAGTTGTTATTGGTAATTATTGTTATTGGTGAATATAAAGATACTGGATTTGTACATTTGTAGAGTCTCCATATCTAAGCAATCACCTTACAGAGTTGTTTCTGGTCAATTTAAACTGTTTAATGTATCCCTGTTGCTGTTTCCAATACATAAACAAGCTCACCTGCCCTGCACACACACGAGTAGCTCTGATTTCTATTTCAGCACTGCCAGAAAAGGTCAGAATGACATTATAGGCTGAATCATGTAAAAAAAAAAAAATCAACAAAACAAAAACTCCAAGGTTCATGAGTCACTTAAATATGTATTTTTATTTGTAACAAATAAGTATTAAACTGTAAAGTATTTTTGTACAAATTTAATACTTTAATAGCATGATATTTATCGTCTATGTTATGTTTTTTGAAATTCAAACTGTTGCAAATATTTGTATGGAAAAACTGTATAAATTGAAATAAACAGTGATTTGAAGACATTAAAAATGAGGTAGAGTTTTTCTACTTCATATTTTTCCCATTTTTTTCCCCACAGTTTTAGAAAAAAATACCATTTTTATATTTGTGGTATACTTTTTCCTACCATATGTGAAAAGAAAAAATTGTTGAAGGTAAGCAGGTTGTCCACATTTTAGTACAATGTGTCTGATGTTTGGTTGAACATTCAATTTATTAATTTCAAAACTGCAATGCAGCAAGTCCCAAAGCACACATGAGAAAGCTAAAAGTGGAATGTTATTTCAGCTCTGATTTGGAGTTTTGCTTTTCTTACCAAGATCATCATCAGCTATCATAATCAACTATTAGCTAAAGCAGCAATGGCAAGTTCTACATCATAGAAAAAGTTTTCTATGTCACTGATTGCAACTTTCTTGTTATGCCTATAACAAGATTAAAACCCATGATCCATCATCAAAGCTTCATGGCCACAAATCTGCCACATCAGAGAAACCTACACCCCTTTGTAAACTTTTTTTTTTTCTCAAGGAATCAACAGAATTGGCACATCAGTAAGAGCATCTCATCAATATCATAGCATTTGGAGATGGATAAATCTTGGTATGGACAACTAGGAGTCTTTAAACCAAAATACATCCTTGTGTATTTTTTAAGGGAACATCTGGAACCTTAAAGACCTGTAAGTTCAGTCTTCAGCAAAATGAAAGAATTACATGATTTCTGATGAGCAGTACACCAGGGAATCTATTAAAAATGGATCACTGAAAATTTAAGAGGCTCAGCATAAAATAAGCTGTTCTTCACAGAACATACAAAACCAAGAAATCCTTTAAAAGGCACCTGAACATTCAGGATCTCCATCCCAAAAATCTTCAACAGGTTCAATAAAGGTTCATACCAAGACCAAGTAATAATTGTCTGTTAGCTTTTGAAGAGTTTCCTGGGAATTTGCTGTCCCAATGAAAGATTCTTAAGTCTGGAAGATCCAAGTGGGGATTCTTCTACTGTTGTCTGTCAAAACAAAAAAAAGTTACCCAAGCTTGAAACAGAACTAAAATATATTAGCTTCTTCAAAACAGGCACTTTCTCCATGAGCTCAGAAATTAGATGTAATGAAAAAAAAAGCATCTGTTATCAGGTTTGACTTAATAAAAATCAATTTCAATTATTAAATTTTATATACATCTCTCACAGCACGTCACCTAAAAACTGACATTTGTGCACAAACCATAAGCTGATACAGGCTAAGCTGGCTAAGAGATCACTCTGAGAGTAAAAACACATATAAGTTTTCTACTATTGACCTTTTTTTCTGTATTAGCTATATATTACTCTGCAAAGACATCTGCCAAATTTGACTGCTTCACCAATTACTGGTCAACTTGAAAATTATTAAATAAATGTCAATCAAACAACCGTAACAGTGCCCTGGTGACTTGTGGTGGTGAAAGAGAGTGCAAAGGTTTGAACTTTCTCAGTAAGGAGATACTCACCAGGGGTATTTCTGTAGCATCCTCAGGTGCAGGGATTTGTCTTTTACATGGACTTTGCTGCAGACTGCCCACCTTCTCTTTACTGAGAGCTGATGACCCTTCCTGTATCATGAGGTCACTCTGTTCAGGTGGGTCAGGAGCACCTTGAGTAGCAGAAACAGACTGAGCCTCGAGCTCTTGATTTTGCCAGCACCTCTTCGGGGGAGAGGGCATTTGTTCGGGACAGTTGTTTGTTTCTGCAATTGCCTCTCTCAGAAACCTCTGCAAACGCGTTTTTCTGGCGATCTCCTTGCTCTTCACTGCTCTCCGCAGGTGCAGCTCCTCAGCCACGATGTAGACGCGGCAGCGCCCCCTGGTCACAGCCGTGTACACGTGCTGCCAGTGCTGCCGGCCCGCGTTGCCAACCACGTACACCACGGTCCTCTCCTCCGAGCCCTGCAACGCGGGAGAACTCTGATTCAAAGGCCGATCTCCAGGAAATAGTTAAAAAATTACAGGAGTGAGGAAGTTGGAGGCAACTGGGGACACTCTCGAGAATATTTTCTATCCTGCATTCAAGGAATTCTAGTTTCAAGAAAAGTTTCTGATTTTTTCATGAGAGAATAGAGTGCATTAGCTCAGCTAACAGCTGCTGTGGTTTTACCTGGAATGTGTGAATAGTTCTGGCCCAGGCATGCCTGATGTGACACAGCTTCCTCAGTGCCGTGTAGCTCACAGTGAACGTGGAGCCGTCCGTGCTGCTGATGGTCAGCAAGCGCTGCTTATCAATTTCTACATCCTAAAGGAATAGCACAACACTCAGCAGTGAGCCTGGAGCAATGTCTGTACTTCCCTATTCTGGCTTGCCCTGAAATTACAACAGCTGCAAGGTCAACCAGCTCAAAGTTTCAGAAGACACTAAACCCAATAAATTGCTGTCTTTCCCTGACCACCTTGAAGGAAAACAGTTTTCACTGTTCAGGGCCTACGCCAACTACTGATACTTTCACTGCTCAACTCACTGAACCCAGCAAAAAACCCCAGTTTTTTGTTGCTGGTACTTTTAGGCCAGCTTGGTTTTCTTCCGGGGCAAACTTCAGCTGTAACATTACTCTTTACTTCAGACCATGTTAAACATTATCTATTTCAATTACAGTACATTTGAGTAGTTACAGACTGTATCTACACTGAACACAATCACACCAAGTGAAACACATTGTACCAAAAACCCAGAATAGAGGGTTTTTTAACTTTCTACCATACCTTGCCTCTTCCATGCCTTTTAGACAACTGTTTAGCAAAACTAAGTATGTATTAGGGGCCAAATTTTAAAATAGTCAATTGTTTTGTTCTGGGGATTTAGGAAGCACTGAATCACTTCCCACCAGGTTTTCTTTGTGCAAGTTCTTGCTGCCAGGACTCACCTCTGTTATGAAAAATATATCTCCATTGCAGAGTCGTTTGCCCTCCTCATTAGACTCTGCAGTGAGTGGGGTTTCTCCACGTCTGCATTCCTGGCCATTAGAACCCTCTCTGACACCACGGGTGGCCAAGAGATCCTTGAGATAAACATTTCGTGTGCTGGCAATCTTGTCCCCAGTTTGAAACAAAAATCTCTTCTTATGGTCTCTAGGTCAGAGAAAGAAAAAGGGAAAATGTATTTACAAAGTGTGCATTTACCATCTCTCAGTGTTTTTTCTCTTTCCATTCTCTATACTTGACCCAGATTAAAAACTTCAATAATATTCAAAATAGTTAGGGTAACACATTTGTTTCTTAAACTTTTGTAAAACAAATTGGTAAAAAAACAATAATATAAACCAGTAATACAGAGTAACACAAAAGTATTTCAGAATCTATTTAGAAATCATATAATGGCAAAAAAAATTTAACCTTGAGGGTTTTTTCATGTTGCTTTTATATGAATTTTGAATATTCAATAGTAACTTAAAATCTCAGAATTCACATAATGAATTTAAATGAAAAGCCGTTTACCACTATTCAAAATGAGATTAAAGAGCCCATCAAATAAAGTTTATTGTATGAATGATTTATAACATAATCAGATCTAGATGGACCATTGGAAGTTTTAAAATCTTATTTTATGGTGTTGGTCTGGCTATAACACTTTTAAAAACAAAATTAAATTGGTGACAGGAAAAATGCAAAACACTGGCTTACCTGGTTAAATGATCTGAGTAGTGTTGGCAGCAAAGTTCATTTATTAGATCACAATCTTGCCTAAATCATACACCACAAGAACATGAACAAAGTCATTATATACAAAACATACAATTACAAGCAATATCACATAAGCATTACTTTATAAATAATGGAAAAAGCCCTTTTTCTCTCTGATGCTCTTCCACCACCTATTAGAACAATTACTTATTCAGAGTTTAGAAGACAGAGCAGTAAAGGAACAGTTTTGTCTAAATAGCACAGAAAGCTTTTGCACTGTACACCTAGATTAGCTAGATTTGGTTTTAAGATGAAGAAAACTAAAGAAAAACTAAAACATGGACAGATTATTTTCTGTCTGTGGATATATTAAAATAGCAATAAGATTTATTTGCGTTTTAAAGACTTGGAATTTTAACTTTTAAATGCAACTCAAGTACCTATAAATATATTCCAGAAGAATCATACACAAAAATGACTAATAATAGTATTGTACCTGAATGCAGACTGGAGAAAAAAATTGATACCAGAGTTATTCAGCATTCCCAAATCACTTATTAGCTCACTGGGAACCTGTAAATAGTGCATGATTTTTACGTCCTGAGAAAATGTTCTTCACAATTAAAGGTGGAGTTTTTTCTTAAGTATCCTTTTGTGCAGAACTGAAGGTTATGGACTATTGGTGCTAGTGCACATTATGCCTTTTATCCCTTCAGCGTTCTGCAAAGCCATGCATACTATTCATGCTCCTGTGATTACTGACTTCCAGTCTTTCTCAAAGTGTGTTACAGCCCTACATCGCACCGTTCCTAGGTGATGAGTATTCCCGAATATCTAATAGTTTTATGCTATTGCCACTAGTCTCTCCAACTCAACACACTCAGCTATTTTTAGATTGTGGCTGCTAGCAAGGATTTTTTCAATGTCTTCCTGCACACTCCATTACCTTCTGAAAGCAATGAATTGTGATTGTTTGGCATCCTCCAATCCTGGCCCTTTTTTAAGTAACATCTTTATTGCAGTTTGTAAATCTGTTTTAAAAGATGTAAAAGGTAAGACATGAAAATATTCAGAATTTAAAAAAGGAAAATATAATTCAATATGAAATTGCCTTTGCTTATTTCTTGCTTTAATGACATCTCAACTTGTTTAAAACAAAACAAAAAAGAAACAACCCCCCCCAAAACTCCCACACAAAATGACACACCCCCAAAAGAAACAGAAATACACCATAAAACACCCAAGAAAGCATCATGCAGTTAGTCCACTATTAAAATCAGAGAAATAAGAGAGATATGGAAAGAAACAAATTCTTATTTCTGCGTTAAACAACAGCTGCATGGAGCATATTTCATGCAAAGTAAGTTTTTGCTACAGCACATTGAAGAGGTAAAGATTAAATATTTTCAAGCCACAGACCTATACACTTGGATTTCACAGAAGAAATCTAACTTCAGTATTCTGCTTGCTGAGTATTTTACTAGAGTAAGATAAGGTGATAATGTTCGTACCATTTTTTTTTCTGCATTCCCCTTGAAGTGTTTTGATGCATATAAAAGAGAGGCCACTCAATCCACTTACACCCAATAAATGTCAAAAAACCCCACTAAACAATGGCTCTAGCCCTGACCCCAAAACATTTTAAGAGACATACTGCCATCCCTTCTTAGAATTTTCCTAACTCCGTTCTACAGCTGGGAGCACGTTCCTGTCCAGCACACCATATTGTTAAGAGTCACTTTTTACTCAAATGATTCACCTCTGAATCAATTCTGAAAATCTCTTAAAGTTTGA